ACCTGGATTGAAGGCAAGTTCCGTTCGATCTCTTTGAATTTAAATTCAGTACTGAGCTCTACGAAATAATTGGCTTCTATTATGACAATGTATTTAGAAGATGTGAACCACTCATGTGCACTTGGTCTCTAAGAACCTTTAGGAGAAATACCGTGCTAAAATCACTAATTCGACCAAAATGCACACATTTATTCTCAACCCGATACAAAGCTAACTTTATTATTCATTTGGGGAGCCAAACCCGACAGAAAAATGAGAAGTCAAATTATATGTGAAAGTATATAATGTCCCAAAATACTAGAATTTATACATGCGCAATATCAATATCAATATCAATATCAATATCAAGGTGGTGTCCAATATTTTTCTTTAATATACCGCGATCTGGACCCTATAATGCATTCGGAATTGCCTGCAAGACATTAAGATTACAAATGATTAAGTAATATGCTACAAGGACATTTTATGTCCTGGTGGAAATTCATAGATAACATCCACGTGGAGCGTATAAATGACAAGGATATCCTCGCACAATATATATGGTATAACGAGAACATAAATATAGGAAATCCAGTATATTTTATCAAGAATGATTTGTAAAAAGGTTACGTTTGTTCATTTTGCTAAATTGGAATACGAACTTGGACACGATATTGAAGAATAAGACAGGAAGGGTGTGAGCTGTCTCTACTTTAGTTGAACGTGACTAAACTTCAAGGGTTCCAGTGTCAAATTGTACGTCATATATTGCCAAGAAACTGTCTTCTTAATAAAATGGGATACGTAGACAGTACAAGTTGTAGCTACTGTTCTAATTAAACAGAAGATGTTATACATATATACCCTGTCCTGTATCTTTTGATATATATTGAATATTTGCAAAATGTTGAATATGTTGATGTATTAATGTTGTACCTTTAATGGCGGGCTGAGTGTCATAAGTTAGGTTCAGTCAAGGGAAAGCAACAAAGTGAGCTCTGTCTGGCCAGACATGGAAACAAAACACAAAGCCCAGTAATAATATCAAAGGAAAATATTCCTTTTTATTATTTATCCAAAAATAACAATCCTTTAAACCTTATCATTATTTGTCAAAACGAATCATTTTCAACTTTAGAAATAATAACTATCCACCAACATTTCAATTTATACAGGATCTCACTGAATGTTTTAGGTTAACAAAGTTTACTTCAGTTATTAATTGTAAGAGAGATTACTTTCATAAGCTTTGGTCAATCTGTCATGCTTTATTTCTTTGAATATATTATTATGCAAAACCGTTGAAATGCTTTAGAAAATTAAACATGAAAAGTATTCTTGTCACTCTTCTCTCGTTCATATATCCGAGATCTTATAGGATGTCAATTGGCTAGTTAACACATATTCTCACCAAGGGATATTCAAATATAGACAGTGTGTCTATGATATGCATCCGATTCAAGGTTGAGGAAGATGTTTTAAATAACTCCACGTTATGATATCTCTCTGCGTGTGTTATGCTACATAGTTCGCTCCATCACTTCAATCACTACCTGACAGTTTATTGCTCCTATTATTGTGTACTTGCTACAACCAGACAACCGCGAGGTGAATGCTCATCTGTCTTTCATGTGTCTGACACCAGATAATGGATAGATCAACGATTTGTGAGTGTGGAGTGGGATGAAATCTAACATGTGCAAACCAAGTGGGCGTTGTCTTATGCTTCAGGCGCTAAAAGCTAACGTTTTGAAACAGAAATGTCAGATTTTATAGAAACAGAACACCCACTTAACTACGTCAAATAATCAACGTAGATTGTACATCATTGTTTTCTTGCTATAACCCATTTGTCATTTTTACTCCCAAAGATGAGGTTATACTAGATGGTGAAATCGCTGAGGCATGTGACATTAGATAAAGGATTCAAATGACGTTAGGAGGATTGTTAAATTATATATATAATAAACATAATGAGGCAAATAAAAACGTGCTTGTGTCCATTTCAACGGGAAATATGTCTGTGGAAAATGTCTAACGGAAAGAATTGACGTTTGTGTGCTTGATATGATATTGTTAAACTTGTGAAAATTCGAATCTGATCATTGCCTTTCTATACGCCGAGGACCAAAGCATGAAGCAAAGTATCGTTAAGCCAATATAAGCCACGTGGTCGTTCACATGAGTCGGTGTACAAACAACATGATTTACTACCAGGGTATTTTCAAAGAAATGTTCACATAAAACAGGAATATCAGATTTTTGAATTAGGCTACAAATCCTGTACTAGGACTAGGCATGGCTAAAATGCTAAAACAACGCCCAAACAAAACCCCAATGCAATGAGTTGCGTATGAAAATCTTGGTGTAACTTTATGCAGTTCAAAGATATTGTTTAACGTGTACAATTAGATCGACATATATTTACTAGTTATAGGAAAACTTGAAACTGCCACACACATTAGCACATTATAATGCCATTAAATCTATATTTCAAAATTATATAGACGTTAAGAAAAATAGTTAAACATTGTCGGTTGAGTTTCGAATCTCCTAACTGCAATGGTGAAAAATATTGTTTGGGCGTCCCCGCCCAGTACTTTCGTGTTCCCCCGCAATAATATCTTGGCACACCATGTGGATCAAATATACGTCTGCCTTCGAGCCTTACAAAGGACACAGCGATGTGGTGTTATCTTTCGCGTTTTAATTTTATAAATATTCTTAAGTTCAATATTCCCAAGTTCAATATTCCTAAATTCAACATTCCTAAATTCATTAAAGATGCATACATGTGGAAACAGTTTGAAAACAATTTGTCTGATCATGAACTTTCGGCGCCTTCTCTTGAGTAGAAGGACAGAATATGCTGTCCCTCTGCCTGGTGTCCAACTTGTATAGGTTTGAAATGTTTCGTCCTTCAATATTGATTTTGGGCAGATATGTGAGTATGAATACGATGGATGGCTGAAAGGTTCTTAGCCTAACTCGAAAGGTATATGGTACACCCTTACCAGTTTGCATATATTTAGAACAATACTTCCCATGCTTACAGGCTGCATTTGAACCAATTACAAAACAAGGCAGACATCAAAGTGACAAGATATTCTCTGTTGATGAAAAGGGACAAAATTGGCTACGGCACTGTCATCAATGATTTCCAACTGAAGGACTCTAGTAGATAAAATATTTGTAAAACATTTCCCCCTTGTTAATAGTATCCCATTGTTCTTTTACCATTTTGTCCTGACATTTCCATAAGCAAAATAGAATCCAAGATATTTACATTATAAGAAACAATTTCTGTACTGGTCATACCATCTTCCTGTAAAGCATCTCTGAGTATACCTAACATTCTACTTAAATATATAGGCAGCATGTACCATGGGGCACTAAAATATACTGACCCGTGAAGATTCCGGGATAGAAATCAGCAATCCATGCTTGCCGTAAACTGTGACTAACGGGATCGGGTGGTCAGGCTCGCTGACTTGGTTGGTGCATGTCAACGATCCTAATTGCGTGGATCGATGCTCATGATATCAATCACTGGATTGTTTGGCCCAGACTCGATTGTTGAAATCTGTTTTTCAAACTTGACTGTTATTAAAGACGAAGGCTTGAAACACAATATAAATGTCATTGCTAATTGTGAATATTGACGTAACACTAATTTATTGCTCCCGAACACAACATTTGTTGATTTGTCGCCAAAATACAGCATCTTGAAACCAAACTGGGAGAAATTGCAAGGAGAAAAAGCTGTAAGCATGCTGCACGTGCAAATACGGCTACTTAACCTTTATACCGACTTTCATATGATGCAAGGATTTTTCCTGCATTTCGGCAATGGATCTAAAATGATATTTTCTAAAATATGTATACTATTGCTATTTATTTGTCATATAATGTCGAAGACTGCTGAGGTATATAAACACACGAGTATGATATATCAGCATTCATATAGGACAATGATACATCGAACATTAAAACTATACCTAAAGTGCATGTATTCATTCTAACAGTACTCGTTTCCTTTGGGGGGGTTTGCATGCACGCGGTCAACCCACATGTCAGTGTGCTTTGGCCACCTGTTTGTGGTGACTGGCGTTTATCGCAGGGGACATGTTAATAATAAGCAAGGAGCTTTCCGTTTTTGAAATAGCCACTCTTGTTATCAGCTTGAAGTTTCAGTAGGTCTGCTCTTTGTCGAGGTATCCCATGTTTGTTGAGATGCCTTGGCATGTGTTTGTGACCGTTGTCACCTGTGAGACAGTAAACTCTCACCGAGGGGTGGTCTCACGCCACTGATATTTTGGTAGGTATCACTACACTGAAGAGATCATTTGTTCCGTCGTGGTGTGAAATAGTCAGAGGTTGACATATCATGTATTTGAATGGACATTTAGTTGTTATGTTTACATGTAAGACATGTAAGTGTATGTTTTGTAATGATTATTCCTATGAATGGGTGACCTGTGTTTTTATAAAGACACGGAAGATGATAGATGACAAGTGTGCATGCAATAGTTCAATGTAAATATATGTAAATATTATATATATATATATATTCCGTGATGAAAGTTAACTGTAATGACTCATACCAGTGTCATAAAGTATACAGTTATGACTAAGTAATGATCGTGTACAACGTTGATCTTGATTGATGATTGGCGAAAAGTTTTCAATCACAATTCCTACATGATTATCCTCGAGACGTTATAGCCTCATCATATACCTCGTAAATCTTTATGTTAATAATCTTCTGGGGCGTCATTGCAAAATCACGCAACTCGCATGTGACTATTAAACAACATAGGATTGCATGAACACAACATAGCTTGTTCACATTGAAAGACACTTTACTTAGGCCGTTGAGTCAAAGTTACAAAGTCAATGAGTGAGTGAGTATGGTATTACGCCGCTTTAAGCAATATTCCAGCAATATCGAGGCGAGCGACACCAGAAATTGGCTTCACACATTGTATCCTTGTGGGCAGTGGTGATGTTTTGAGGAGATATTAATTGGAGAAGACAAGTGATATAGGTGATGTGTTGAGGAGATAGTAATGGGAACAGACAAGTGATTTGGGTGATGTGTTGAGGAGATAGTAATGGGAGCAGACAAGTGATATGGGTAATGTGTTGAGGAGATAGTAATGGGAGCAGACAAATGATATGGGTGATGTGTTGAGGAGATGGCCATGGGGGTAGACAAGTGATATGGGTGATCTGTTGGGGAGATGGCCATAGGGGAAGACAAGTGATGTGGGTGATGCGTTGAGGAGATGGCCATGGGGGCAGACAAGTGATATAGGTGATGTGTTGAGGAGATGGCCATTGTGGCAGACAAGTGATATGGGTGATGCGTTGAGGAGATGGCCATGTGCGCAGACAAGTGATATAGGTGATGTGTTGAGGAGATGGCCATGGGGGCAGACAAGTGATATAGGTGATGTGTTGAGGAGATGGCCATTGTGGCAGACAAGTGATATGGGTGATGCGTTGAGGAGATGGCCATTGTGGCAGACAAGTGATATGGGTGATGCGTTGAGGAGATGGCCATTGTGGCAGACAAGTGATATGGGTGATGCGTTGAGGAGATGGCCATTGTGGCAGACAAGTGATATAGGTGATGTGTTGAGGAGATGGCCATTGTGGCAGACAAGTGATATGGGTGATGTGTTGAGGAGATGGCCATGTGCGCAGACAAGTGATATAGGTGATGTTTTGAGGAGATAGTAACGGGAGCAGACAAGTGATATGGGTGATGTGTTGAGGAGATGGCCATGGGGGTAGATAAGTGATATGGGTGATGTGTTGTGGAGATGGCCATGGGGGCAGACAAGTGATATGGGTGATCTGTTGAGGAGATGGCCATGGGGGAAGACAGGTAATGAGGGTGACGTGTTGAGGAAAGAGTAATGGGAGCAGTCATGTGATATAGGTGATGTGTTGGGGAGATGGCCATGGGAGCAGACAAGTGATGTGGGTGATGTGTTGAGGAGATGGCCATGGGGGTAGACAAGTGATATAGGTGATGTGTTGAGGAGATAGTAATGGGAGCAGACAAGTGATATGGGTGAAGTGTTGAGGAGATGGCCAATGGGGCAGACATGTGATATAGGTGATGTTTTGAGGAGATAGTTACTAGAGCAGACAAGTGATATGGGTGATGTGTTTGGGAGATGGCCATGGGGGCAGACAAGTGATGTGGGTGATGTGTTGATGAGATGACTATATGCGCAGACAAGTGATATAGGTGAAGTGTTGAGGAGATGGCCATGGGGGCAGACAAGTGATATAGGTGAAGTGTTGAGGAGATAGTAATGGGAGCGGACAAGTGATATGGGTGATGTGTTAGGGAGATGGCCATTGGGCAAGATAAGTGATATGGGTGATGTGGTGAGGAGATGGCCATGTGCGCAGACAAGTGATATAGGTGATGTGTTGAGGAGAAGGCCATGGGGGCAGAAAAGTAATATGGGTGATGTGTTGAGGAGGTAGTAATGGGAGCAGACAAGTGATATGGGTGATGTGTTCGGGAGATGGCCATGGGGGCAGACAAGTGATATAGGTGATGTGTTTAGGAGATGGCCATGGGGGCAGACAAGTGATATAGGTGATGTGTTTAGGAGATAGTAATGGGAGCGGACAAATGATATGGGTGATGTGTTGAGGAGATGGCCATTGGGGCAGACAAGTGATATAGGTGATGTGTTTAGGAGATGGCCATGGGGGCAGACAAGTGATATAGGTGATGTGTTTAGGAGATGGCCATGGGGGCAGACAAGTGATATAGGTGAAGTGTTGAGGAGATAGTAATGGGAGCGGACAAATGATATGGGTGATGTGTTGAGGAGATGGCCATTGGGGCAGACAAGTGATATAGGTGAAGTGTTGAGGAGATAGTAATGGGAGCGGACAAATGATATGGGTGATGTGTTGAGGAGATGGCCATTGGGGCAGACAAGTGATATAGGTGATGTGTTGAGGAGATGGCCATGGGGGCAGACAAGTGATATAGGTGAAGTGTTGAGGAGATAGTAATGGGAGCGGACAAATGATATGGGTGATGTGTTAGGGAGAAGGCCATGGGGGCAGACAAGTGATATAGGTGATGTGTTGAGGAGATAGTAATCGGAGCAGATAAGTGATATGGGTGATGTGGTGAGGAGATGGCCATGTGCGCAGACAAGTGATATAGGTGATGTGTTGAGGAGATAGTAATCGGAGCAGACAAGCGATATGGGTGATGTGTTGGGGAGATGGCCATGGGAGCAGACAAGTGATATAGGTGACGTGTTGAGGAAAGAGTAATGGGAGCAGACAAGTGATATGGGTGATGTGTTTGGGAGATGGCCATGGGGGCAGACAAGTGTTATGTGTAACGTGTTGAGGAGATAGTAATGGGAGCGGACAAATGATATGGGTGATACGTTGAGGAGATGGCCATTGGGCAAGATAAGTGATATAGGTGATGTTTTGAGGAGATAGTTACTAGAGCAGACAAGTGATATGGGTGATGTGTTGGGGAGATGACCATGGGGGCAGACAAGTGATGTGGGTGATGTGTTGATGAGATGGCCATGTCCGCAGACAAGTGATATAGGTGATGTGTTGAGGAGATAGTAATCGGAGCAGACAAGTGATATGGGTGATACGTTGAGGAGATGGCCATGGGGGCAGACAAGTGATATAGGTGAAGTGTTGAGGAAACAGTAATGGGATCGGACAAATGATATGGGTGATGTGTTAGGGAGATGGCCATTGGGCAAGATAAGTGATATGGGTGATGTGGTGAGGAGATGGCCATGTGCGCAGACAAGTGATATAGGTGATGTGTTGAGGAGATAGTTATCGGAGCAGATAAGTGATATGGGTGATGTGTTGAGGAGATGGCCATTGGGCAAGATAAGTGATATGGGTGATGTGTTGGGGACATGGCCATGGGGGCAGAAAAGCGATATGGGTGATACGTTGAGGAGATGGTAATGGGGGCAGACAAGTGATATAGGTGAAGTGTTGAGGAGATGGCCATGGGGGAAGACAAGTGATATGGGTGATGTGTTGAGGAGATAGTAATGGGAGCAGACGAGTGATATGGGTGTTGTGCTGGGGAGATGGCCATTGGGGCAGACAAGTGATATTGGTGATGTGTTTGGGAGATGGCCATGGAGGCAGACAAGTAATATGGGTGATGTGTTGAGGAGATAGTAATGGGAGCAGACGAGTGATATGGGTGATATGCTGGGGAGATGGCCATTGGAGCAGACAAGTGATATGGGTGATGTGTTTGGGAGATGGCCATGGGGGCAGACAAGTGATGTGGATGATGTGTTGAGGAGATAGTAATGGGAGCAGACAAGTGATGTGGGTGATATGTTGGGGAGATGGCCATGGGGGCAGACAAGTAATTTGGGTCATGTGGTGAGGAAATGGCCATGGGGGAAGACAAGTGATATGGATGATGTGTTGGGGAGATGGCCATATGGGCAGACAAGTAATTTGGGTCATGTGGTGAGGAGATGGCCATGGGGGAAGACAGGTGATATGGGTCATGTGTTGGGGAGATAGCCATATGGGCAGACAAGTAATTTGGGTCATGTGTTGAGGAGATGGCCATGGGGGCAGAAAAGTAATATGGGTGATGTGTTGAGTAGGTAGTAATGGGAGCAGACAAGTGATATAGGTGATGTGGTGAGGAGATGACCATGGGGGCAGACACGTGATATGGGTGATGTGGTGAGGAGATGACCATGGGGGCAGACACGTGATATGGGTGATGTGTTGGGGAGATAGTAACGGGAGCAGACACGTGATATGGGTGATGTGTTGAGGAGAAGGCCATGGGGGCAGACACGTGATTTGGGTGATGTGGTTAGGAGATGACCATGGGGGCAGACACGTGATATAGGTGATGTTTTGAGGAGATAGTAACGGGAGCAGACACGTGATATGGGTGATGTGTTGAGGAGAAGGCCATGGGGGTAGACAAGTGATATGGGTGATCTGTTGAGGAGATGGCCATGGGGGAAGACAAGTGATGTGGGTGACGTGTTGAGGAAAGAGTAATGGGAGCAGACAAGTGATATGGGTGATGTGTTTGGGAGATGGCCATGAGTGCAGACAAGTGTTATGTGTAACGTGTTGAGGAGATAGTAATGGGAGCAGACACGTGATATGGGTGATGTGTTGAGGATATAGTCATGGGAGCAGACAAGTGATATGGGTAATGTGTTGAGGATATAGTCATGGGAGCAGACAAGTGATATTGGTGATGTGTTGAGGAGATGACCATGGGAGCAGACAAGTGATATGGGTAATGTGTTGAGGATATAGTCATGGGAGCAGACAAGTGATATGGGTGATGTGTTGGGGATATGGCCACGGGAGCAGACAAGTGATGTGTGTGATGTGTTGAGGAGATGGCCATGGGGGCAGAAAAGTAATATGGGTGATGTGTTGAGGAGGTAGTAATGGGAGCAGACAAGTGATATGGGTGATGTGTTGAGGAGATGGCCATGGGGGCAGACAAGTGATATGGGTGATGTGTTGAGGAGATGGCCATGGGGGCAGACAAGTAATATGGGTGATGCGTTGAGGAGATGGCCATGGGGGCAGACACGTGATATAGGTGATGTTTTGAGGAGATAGTAACGGGAGCAGACAAGTGATATGTGTAACGTGTTGAGGAAATGGCCATGGGGGTAGACATGTGATATTGGTGATGTGTTGAGGAGATGGCCATGGGGGTAGACAAGTGATGTGGGTGACGTGTTGAAGAAGGAGTAATGAGAGCAGACAAGTGATATGGGTGATGTCTTGAGTAGATAGTAATTGGAGCATACAAGTGATATTGGTGATGTGTTGAGGAGATAGTAATGGGAGCAGACAAGTGATTTAGGTTATGTGTTGAGGAGATGGCCATGGGGGCAGACAAGTGATATGGGTGATGTGTTGAGGAAAGAGTAATTGGAGCATACAAGTGATATTGGTGATGTGTTGAGGAGGTAGTAATGGGGGCAGACACGTGATATAGGTATGTTTTGAGGAGATAGTAATGGGAGCAGACAAGTGATTTGGGTGATGTGTTGAGGAGATTGTCAGGGGAATAGCCAAGGTGTCAGTTATATTCGTGGTGGTTAATTATTTGATAATATCGTTCTATAAATGGCGATGTTTCAGTCTTTAAGAGGATGGTAGGACTCGATAAGAATGTCATTCCTGTGTAAATTAAAATCAAAGTCCCCTGCCCATGATAGCATGTATGTTGATGCCAAATAGATGCGTCTGTTTTAACGGCTGCCTAGGTTTTTTACAAATGACAAACAATAACAAGCATATAGTTTTTGTAATGTTTGATAGGGGATCCATATATGCCAGTTTAGTATGGAGCCACTGTGACGAAGCAATCATGCACTTGTCAAAAAGTGTTCCGCACAGATGACTGCCTTGCCGACCGCGTCAGTATAAAAGATAAAGGAGAAGGATACTGTCGTCGAAATTGTTTGCTCTTGATCCATTGGGCTGTCGGCGATGTCAGCTGTATCTACACAAGTACTCCTGGTGAGTTCTCATTACTCCACGTAAAGATGTATTTTACAAATGGGTTTTTTACACAAACGTGTTTATTAAAAATTTAATTATGAATTGAGATACTTTTTAAGTTTTTTTTATATTCTTATTACTATTCTACACTAAGATTGCCTGATTTCACAGAATGTATCTGCATAAGAAGGTATTTCCATGTTATTGGTAAGTTATTGAAAATATTAAATATTAAACTGCAATTTGGGAGATAATTTTCAGTGAACTGACGGAAAATTGGATTGCGGCAGTGAGACCTTAAGGCATGTAACACTGCAATAATGTTGTCTAAGTTTGAATCCTCATTCATACTTTTTAAGTTTTTTTTATATTCTTATTACTATTCTACACTAAGATTGCCTGATTTCACAGAATGTATCTGCATAAGAAGGTATTTCCATGTTATTGGTAAGTTATTGAAAATATTAAATATTAAACTGCAATTTGGGAGATAATTTTCAGTGAACTGACGGAAAATTGGATTGCGGCAGTGAGACCTTAAGGCATGTAACACTGCAATAATGTTGTCTGAGTTTGAATCCTCATTCACGTTGTCACACCTGGACATAAGCTTCCCGTCACTTGTTACATATCAAGAGTTAAAATCCACTATGCGTTGTCAAAGTGGTTCAGTAAAATATCGTGTTAATTTAATACCACATTGATTTGGGACACAGTCTACGTGAACATAATTATCGTACATCTTTCCTCGACATTGAGACGTAAAAGACCAACATTACTATTACTACTAGCCTTAGCATCAATAAGAGTTCATGTGTTTCTTATTTTACATGCCGCAAGTGATCAACGATGTTGTCATATCAGGACAACTTTGATCAATACATGTAATTAGATGAATTCGCCCAATGTGCTGATTGCAAACAGGACCCATACTTGTCAGACATGTCTAATTATAGTGTTCCTTAAATACTTTTATCATCTTTAAAGACACACATTTATTAGAAATAATAAACAGTGTACATTGAAAAGGGACAGATATATGACATACCTTTACTTCAGGGTAATAGTGTATCTCATGATATCATGCCTTTTGTGCCATCACGTGTGTGCTGATAGTACTACTTGTATATTATACATGTTCTGTCAGGAACAACAGCATGGTTCAAGTGCCGTGTGTTTGTTTGTAGAGCGCCGTGCTGCTGCTGCTGGTGTGGCCCGACGTCAGTCAGGGATGGGGAAGTAATTCTCTCTCAAAGGGCCGTCTTTTGCAGCTGCAACGTTTACGGGCATACAGATCATATCATACATCAGACGGCGATGGTGAAGATGATGATGATGACGACTACCCTTCATACCCTTCATACCCTTCATACAGAAGAAACTCCTGGAGAAATAACCTGGTGTCCATAAGGAGGACAATTGACAGACATGACATTGACTTTGACGACTACCTAGAAGACTATCACAAGTACAGGCAGCATGCGTTTTCACGATTACGTCAAATTCGGGATGACTACTACAGAAACCGCAAGAATGGCTCCGGTCGCAGCAATGCTGATGAGAACGGCAACCAATCGTTGGGGCAGCGTCGGGCCGCATGGGGAGGTAGACAAGCCAACAATAGAGGAATGAGTCGACTCAATGCCAGGCTCCGAGAGTACTTACAAACCAATGGTGCATCGCCTGCATACAACTAACAGTAGCTCAGTGTGTTCCCACAAGTGATGATTATAAAATAGGATCAATCAGTCACGCTAGCAGTCATCAAACCAACACTTACGACATAGCAGAAAACCTTATGCACACATGTAGTTATCAACAGGTTTGATTAAATGTGATACTCAACCGTTACATTGCGTGTTTATTTGATGTGATACGTACACTTATATTAAATTTGAGCAAATAGCAAGTCTTGGTGTTTGCCCTTTGTTGATGATGTCACCCTATGAGTATGTTCGATACATGTATCGTGTCACCTGAAACCCAACATGAATGACTTAATTTTTGTGCAGTAAAATGTTAATATGTATGAATGATCACAACACCATTTTGTTCACAGCATCCTTGATGATCTTTGCAAAGATTCAAAGCTGCAGGCGATGAACCAGACGTGCTCTGGGGTGTGATAGATTACGAGACTGTCAGCTATATGATGAATTACAATAGACAACATTAACAAATCAAAAGGTTCCATAATCGTTATTCGTTTCATCCTTAATATGCCAAACGCGTGTATGCCGTTTGGAAAACGTTTGAAGTCATTTGTAACCGGTCTCATTCATCAGAGGTCGAGATATAAACGTTAATACAACATTTGTAATAGCCGACTTAGACACTTGAAATATATCGATGTTAAAGAAAGAAGACGGTTAGGAACGAGAGTTTAAAAATGGCAAAGTTTAAAAGAAACATAATTTCACCAAGCTTAGTAGAGGCCGCCATGTAAACTCGTCCAACTTACCAATTCCTGCCAAGGAAAGCGTGAGATTGGTTCCTCCCGTTCCCAAAATAACTTCCTCATTGTGCAGTGTAACGCCATTTCTCTTTACACTTAAAGAGTAGCGTCCTTTGAACCCTCTGATTGTCGCTTGTCCCGTGGATAAAGAGCGCGCTTGGTCTACCGTCCTCCAGTCGTGTTTGAACAGCTTCTGCCATCTCTGCCCAGCAGCGTTCGGCTGATGAATTAAACAGTAAACATGACCAGATCAAGCAAAATCTGTTGCATTACTCGGGCATTTAAAAATTAAAAGATGCTTGCCATCGACTACATCAGTGCCATCGACGTCGAAAGCTTATTCTTATTTCCTTGTGCTATTCGTTGAGTGCTATTCATACAAACATATTTGTGTATAGTCATTCCTCAACAAAAGTTGCAACCCTTAAATGATGAACCAACAAGCTGACATGTACCAACAACCCCACTAAACAACAGAAGGGGGAAACAGTGCCCGGGTACGTCTACCTTTCACGCAGGACGGTGCACCTGGTCTGTCTAGGCACGTAGTTTATTGCGTGAGCATTGGAAAGTTAGATCATCCCTTTGGAGCCCCGGTAAGAATACGTCCTCAGCATTATTACTTCCAAGAGGTGACTTAACTAGATTGGGTCGTTTCGCTCGTTGACTAGTTGACAGCGCATCATCGGACCCCGACAACGCAGAACATTGTTTCTGATATCAACTACCGATTTGTCTCGATAAGGTTCGATCATTGAAAGTCTGCCTTCATATACCTGCAATGTTGCTTGCAGAGGCGTTACACAAAATTCGCTAACTCATTCGCTCACATACTGATCAAAATGTGGAAAGTCATATACTCCATATCACCATAATCAGTTATTAATTTATATGATCAGATTTACTTTGGAGTTGAATTTACAAACGTGTATATCATTAGCGTCAGTTCCAAGTATTGCAAACATGAGATTCAGAGATTGTTAATCATGTGTGATATCAATCACCCAAGAAAAGGACACTGCCGTCTCATTGAAGGTCAGGGAAGAAGCTTACAGTTACACTTTGCCCCGAGGCAATAGCAGCCACAGGTTTGGAGTGTTTGCCATCCCAAAATCCCCAAAACATGATGCCATGTATCTGAGGCGTGCTGAAATACAGTCGGAGAACGTCCTCATACAGGTCTGCCTTGCGGTCTTCCAGTGGCTCGCTGATATCCAGCTCTGTTATCCAAATAGGCAGTCCTGTTGATACTATCTGATCAAGGCGGTACTGGAACATCACACGTCTGCACGTCAGGTATGTATCGCTTGTATTTAAGATTACTGACAGTGATGATACACAGCAACCGTAACCTTTTCATGTCAGATTTCCTAATGGCCATCAATGTCAAGAAGCAAGCAGGACATATTTTTCTTTTTAGCAAAAGTACGAAATATTCTTAACGACGTATGACCAACTTATACATTATTAAGAAATATACATTAGGGCAACATTTTGTGTGGTCTTCTGCCGTGGTCGTTGTACATTGACTGGGTGCCACCTGGACCGTTACCAATACATGAAAACATAACCGTGTAAGGTGTTACCAACGTCTCATTGAGATTATTGTCTCTTCACCTTGAGAACAGACATGTCTATGGGCGGGAAGAGATGGCTCTGTATGCCGAGTCCGTAGAGAGGGACATTGGGTGTATTCTTGAACATCATCGCCTGATCGTAGAAGGCCTGAAAAGAAAACATATTAACTGTCAACTTACAACTCTATATACGAATTGTGAAGACGGTGTGTTTTTACAAACAAACTGGGTGGTCATGAATACCTGTGTTGAATGGCTGTCCTTCACCACACCGAAGTCATTGAGAAAGAGTTTGACATTGGGATCAAGCTTGTGTATCTCTCTGAACATCCACATGGTGGCGTTAGCATCTCCAGTTCCAATTTCGTAGAAGTGGCCGTGCACATTCTCGTTGTTAACGTCCCAGTGCTCAACCCTGTACAAATCAATGACGCGATCTTAGTGCTAAGACTTACAAACGTCCTCTATTGCAGCATATGGCGTGGCGTGTGTATGGCCAGTGATTTAAAGCATTTAACAATTTCCTGAACTATCAAGTCTAGTCGTCTAGTTAAGTCTTCACTGCAGTATTTTAAGCAGACTACATGTTATATATTACTTTTTGGTATTTACATATTAATACAGAGAGCGTTCAAAGACACTACAAATCCCGTCATGTTGGTCTATGTCTTGCACCTCCCTGTTTCAATTGCCAGCCTCATCTGAGTCTACACTGAGCAGCTCTCAGTACTTGCAAAGACGAATACATTTTCTTTCTGGTTCGAAGAAGAATTTAACCATACTTTAATATCGTAATCTTGTTTGTACATCACCAGTCCAGGTTTGTCTCCAGCAATCCTGTCATATCCTACTCCAAACCGAGCCAAATCCCACATAATTTAACAACTTCTTCACATATGTTGCCAATGTAAGTCCAAATGATACTCGTTGAAATAACTTGCTTTTTGTGTACCTGGTAGATGGCACATGTAATATTCTCAACCTGTATTTTAAACTATATTTTATGTAAAGAACATAGAATAGAACTCTTCCCAATTCACCATATAAAGCTGCTTTCTGTTTAACCTGACATACAGCATATTTTTCTATTTCTGCTTGTTGTGCTAATATTTTTTCTGGTCTTATCCCATGAAAGCTTTGGTGTAAAACTTACATCCATATACTGAACTATGAAATCTATGAATAAGCAATAACAGCTACCTTTAGATTTTGACAAACATTTCTGGACTAAAGACTGCTGTACAAAATGTATTATCACATGAATGTATCCCTTTCTGTAGCCTGCCTGTTCTTCATCAAAATACATTTTCTATTTCACACTAGTGGACAAGTACGTTGTTTATCCTTTTAAAGATTTTGACAAATGCAGATAATGAACGGACGTTTCACCTTTTTTCTCACGAGGAAAAACAATAGCCTCTGTCCATGCTGAAGGGAAAACACTAACTGACATTAGTTTATTAAACACCGTGTAAAGAAAAGGCAATAAACATTTGATATTACGAGGACTTTTGGCACACAAGGTTCTTTTTATAAATCTAATCACACGAACAAATGATTTTAAGATTTAAGTTGATCAGAGAGAATTATAACCTGTGACCTACCTGGAAATATTATCAAATAATAAACATTTTTCCTTTAGTTACATGACTCTGACAACAACAGCAGTTTATTGAATTGCACGACCATTGGAACAGTACGTTGAAATAGGGGTCTCACAACACATACATTCCGATATTAGTATGCTGTGTCATAATTATAGTAATTCAGTAATAGTATACATATTTATTATATAAGTGAAAAGAGTTCGTTTCTGTATGGTATTCTTGTCCATCAGTATATATTTGTTCGAAAATCAAGGGCGCAACCGGGGAAACTCCTAAATGTGATCCAGTATGTACAACCTGTAGTCTTTCTCTTTTTCCGATTGGTATTTTGCGAGTCTGGTTCTGACATGGGCGTTGCTGTTGGTAAGGTGAGGTGTGGTTTTATCCAACCAAATATTTTTCAATCCTTGTCCCCAATAATTCTGACAAACATGTATTTTGCTGTCATTGAACATAGACTTAGTTTACAAATATTGCATTTGGAACTGTAATGTGATGCTCTGCTCTACGTGTTCTTTGCAGGTTCGAGATATAATTACTCTATTACATCAGTGTAATCGATGACTAACTTCCATCACATATATCAATGTCATCCAATTCAACTTTATTCAGACGTCTTGAGACGGTCCATAAAACATTTTCATCGTCATCCACAGACTGTTCAACCTTTTCAAGGTAGATACTTCGAGTGCTTCGGGAACTGTTGGTTGCATGAAGTGTTCTATTGATGAAATAGTGTTGTGAAATATATTGCTCGTCTCGTTTAGATTCGCGTTTACAGAAGTTGTAAACCTCTGACAACATACCTCAGATAATTAATCCCTGACAGGAATCAATGACATATGAATCATTGTTCTCGCTGCTGTTACCCGCTTCGTCAGAGTCACACAACTGTCCACAACAGTATACGACGATTGTGATGGATAACACCGTGTGGAAACGTATAGTTGACGGACTGTAGAACTATATCAGGGTAACGTCGCGCCGTCAGAAACTCGTTCTGTGATCCCACATCTCCCAGGAACCAGGCGTGGCCAGGCGTATAGTGAGGAATACATACTTCTAATTTGGATCCTGCTAAGGACAGGACATTTGTTACTGGTTCTATAGCATCGTCTTCATAATAACACAATCTGAAAGGCCAGTCATGTTACGGGACCTGTATTTGATTCGAGCAGGCAATAACCGCGCTATTAACAGTCTGTCTTTGAAGTACATTTTCTCTGCAATATGTACCACAAGGTTTCAGCAAGATCCGTTTTCAAACATCTGTTTACAGCGTGCACTCATCGCATATCTACCTGACCATTCACGTTACCCAGAGTAACTTACTAATCACATATAGCCTCACTTTCCCTTTGTCCGAGGAATGACACCCTGTATCCGCCTCTCCATCTGCTTCCACAGAGTCTGTCCAGTCATCCCCTGTTGCCATTTCGGTATGTTTTCGTCTATTCCCCAAAACACGTTATGAGCTCGGATTTTGACCCTGAAACAAAGGTAGATATTGAATTCTCCACACTGTAAGATGTAACACTGTTACCCAGACATGGGTGTTGTGTGCAGTGAAGGTGATGCCTTTCAAACCTTACATATATTGCTTAGTTTGAGTTTAGATTATGTCTTTGAATTTAAACTCCAATACCCATTTCTCATTTGAGTACATACTAAAACATTATTTGATAGGCACTCTAAACAAATGACACCAAATTGAATTAGTAACACAAACCTAACTGACCTCGAAATAACGGAAATTGATATTGCTTCAGAAACACATATACCACATATATGCTTTGTGTGAACACTTTGGTTTAATTACACAACCGATGACCATGGTGTCGATGTTGTCACTCGGGTTATTGTCTTTGGTTGTCAGCATCATCATCAAACCTCACTTTCATGTCATATAGCCAAACTCACTCACTTGCTATTTAATGACCCATCTTGAACTGTGAAGTGAACGAACTCACCAACTAATACATTTAGTCTACTATATATAGTATATGACCTCCTTTGTGTGCTTTATGTTAACAAAAGCTATCTTACATAAGAATGATCACTAGATTCAAATATCAGCGTCTTAGGGTACACCCCAAACTGTAACGTCAATACTAGTTTATCGTGGAAAGTACAAGTTCATAAATATTTATACTCTAGAATCACCAATGGAGCAGAACTAACCCGTGTTTTAGCATGGCGTCGATGGCGTTGAGGGCTGTGTCATAGTCAACATGTCCCTGTAATAATATACACATTGAAACGAATAAGTCATATAACATGATTGTCGCTATGTTATTGCGGAATCGACCACCAAGACACCTAGTATTATATGTGCTTGACACCCGAGCAATGCATGTTTGCAAATATACTTTAATTTACATTTAAGCAACATTCCACTTCATTATAGTAAGGACAAAATGGTTAAGGATACACATATGACGGTTCGCTGAAAAGCATTACAGATATATGAATCAACTATGAGTGTTTCGTACCTCAGACCACTCCATTTGCTTCCACTTTAGCTTGTTTTCTATGACACCCCATTCAAAATTATCATAGAAAAAATCTTGGTAAGCTTTGTACTGACTGTCCACTAACATGTCGGCATGGACAGCTGACCCAAAACCGAATTCGTGTTTCTCTTGGTTGACCTGTAAAATCATAACGGAAACAGTTATTATGACAGTGTACTCTGTTTCATCTACGATTATGTTTCAAGGTGGGTCAGCACCATATCCGTGCTCGTAACATTTTTCACAGAGTAAGCATCAGAAGATCTTTACTATAATTGTCTGTACACTATGATGGGCGAGATAACGAGAAGACAATATAAACTGATGATCAAAAGAAGGTTGGCATGTATATATACATATATATTGACTGTAAAATGAAAACAAAGACCCAAAAGATGTTGATGCAATTGATTATGTGTAATACTATTCAATTCACTTGTTATCAGTCATGTAAAATATCAAAACGCATACAGTCAACTGAACACCAATGGAGGCCCATAAGTGGATGGAACCATCACCAGACGCTAAGGTGGCATTGGGCGACGTCATGACCTCCCCTGGCAAAGATGAACGCTTCAATGCGCCGTCTCAGTGGTGACGTCAAACGTCTGAAGACGATTGTCGGAATGTGTTGCCAAACACCCTGCGTTGTGTGTTTCAGGTCCTGAAAGTTGTTTGGATGGTTGAGTCTTCTTCTCAGCTCCTCAGCTCTCTACCCATATGATCCCACAAGTGTTCGATGGGAGACATGTCGGGAGAACATGAGGGTCAAGGCAGTACGGGCACGTTGAGGTTGTTTAGAAAGTCCTGCGTGAACTGGGCGGTGTGTGGTCGGGCGTTATCCTGTTGCAGTAGGATCACCCTGCTGCACCGCTACTCGTGGCTTTACGATTGCCACTGGATAACAAAGTGTGGTGTCTTCTGGTCGTCATAGATTCGGTCCAACACCATGAGACCACGACCTCCATGGGGATGAACATCTTGTATACAGCCCGAACCATTCTTTCACCCCTACGGCGATAAACATGGACCATCCCGTCTGCATGGAATAGTTTGAACCTGCTCTCATCGGTGAACAAGACACGTTGCTTTTCGCGCCGCTGTCAAAGTCGTACATGTCGAGCCGACCGGAGTCTGTCTTGGCGATGTTGTAGACCCAACACCATCCCACTGAATGGTCTGTATGCCCTAATGCCAACAGCACGCAGTCGTGTTCTCACTGTGTATCGGCGGACACGGTGACCCAATGCCTTCCCGCCAATTCCGTGACTGTCAGGAACCGGTGGCGAAGATGCAAGGTTCGCAGATAGCTATCTTCTAAGGGTGGTTACACGTGGCCTACCACCTCGAGCCCTGTCAATGGTGTCGCCAGTCCTGTTGCACCGATCTGACGTGAGCAACCGAGTGTTCTGGGTACCTGAACTTGTGGAGTCCCCATCATGGCCATCTCAATGACCGCCTCCCTCTCCCTTTCTCTCCCTCCCTCCCTCTCTCTCTGTTCTGCTTTTAGACGTGGCATTTGGTCGATGTGTTTTTGGTTCATGTGATTGTGTATAACACTTTCGGTCGAATTTTATACAAGTACCTGCACGGATGTTCCAAGCAGCATAGAAAAACCTGTTTACGGTATTTTTGTCGCAGCACGTGCATCGACGGCTGCATGGTCTTGATTCTTTGAAACAATTTGACCGCTTCTTTTTTTGGTTATTCAAAATTTCCCAATGTAAACTTTCTTTTGATCTTCAGTTTAAGACACACACGGGCTTAGCGTTATCTCATTGTGAGGATGCAACAATACCGACATGTCAAGATGAGTTGAAAAAACTAAACTGACGACTAAAACGAAACTTTACCACTTAAAGAAAGAAATTCAAAAAAATTAAAAACACAAGTTCAAACTAATGCCACGACTGGCACCCGAACAACGCGGTCGGGTTCTGGGTATGATACAGATTGAAGCCCACCGATGCCCACATTGCTAGAATGTTTGGTTACTCCCGTGATGATCGAAGTAACTTGATGCAACGTTACAGGCAGACCGGGCAGACATCAGACATGCGAAGAACATGCAGACCCAGGATAACTACGCCCAATGAAGACCCGTACTTGCGTACTTTGCATCTCCGGAATCGATTCCTGACAGTGCCGTCATCAGCGAAGAATGCTTTAGGGCATATAGTTAGTCGACAGACAGTCGAACAGAGAACAGTAATCGACAGCGCATCATCATCGTCAGTGATTAAGATGGGCCTGGACTGTACGTCGTTGACAGCGACGTGACTGGCAGAGGATGAAAGCCGGTTCTGTCTATTCAGAGCTGATGAACTACAGCGTATTTACGGCGGCATGTTGTGTTAAGGAGGTCGTGCCGTATGGTGAAGGGGGTGTTATGGTGTGCATCTATATTTTGTGTTTTTCAAAATTAGGGTGATTAGTAAGTATGGTCAAGTTTGTATATTATTTTCCAAAGTTCTGGTTGTGATCGTTTGCAGTATTTGATAAAATGCTTATAATATGATATGTTTCAGTTTCATATTTGTTGTCTATACCAGTTATTGTATTTATTGAAAATATATTTCAGAATAGACCTTTATTGAACTTCACGCAGTCTTTTCGTTAATTATTCTGTTACACGATTGGCCGAAAGTCCTCCTGAATCTCTGTATGCTATGATTATAAAGCACTTTATTTATGGTTAGAAGAACGCTCCCTTTCCTATTTACTAACTCTCTACACAGGAATATATCAAACTGTTACCTCAACGGTCAGGTCTTTTAAGGCAGGAAGTGATCCCAACGCTCTGAAAAGGAAAGCCGTTGTGAGAGGAAGCTGGGAATGGGAACTCTTTACTAGTATTTCTGAATGTTGCCCTTAACCTGTGAAGGAAAACACCAATCACACTGAAGGAAGTGAAAGAATGGGTGAATACTTTCAACGATGCATTCAGCGCCATTGCAATTTCATCATTACGATGTTGAAGTATTAGACGAGGTTAGAAGATTGCGTTAGCTATTATCATAGAGTCCGATCCTCTAATTAATCATTGCTGTCCTGCTCGGAATTTAAAAGGAAATTGAACCTGATATTGAGGTCAGCCTTCCTGTATTTCTCAATGGCGATGTCGGCCTCTGCTCTCCAGCTGTTGGGGATGGTAGGAATCTCGTGCAGCGTGGACGTGTCCAGCAGGTAGTTCACATCTGTATCGGTTATCTGGACGTACAGCTGAACAGTCGTTACATCTAAGGACAAAAGTCAACAAAAATACTGAGACCTACCACTTATCCATAACAGTACACATAACACATTTTTCCATTTACACATTTCACTGTATTTTCTATGACGACACACATACATGTGTACGCCGTTATCTGTAATTATCGTATATAAGTATATATTGACATGCAATTACATTTAAAGGAAACGTTAACGCGCCTGCTGGTGTGGAGAAATCCCCGCCGATGACCTGCCACATCAGAGGTTCCATGAAGCGCACTTCACTCACCAAGGCATGCTTCACCGACCCTGCAGAGACGGACACAACATTTAAGCATATAGGTATATAACCTTCAGTGTATATGCTACAGCACAGAGTTACCTTCATGTTCCTTTAGTATCCAACATAAGTATATAACCTTCAGTGTATATGCTACATCACAGAGTTACCTTCATGTTCCCTTAATATTGAACATAAGCATATAACCTTCAGTGTATATGCTACAACACAGAGTTACCTTCATGTTCCCTTAATATTGAACATAAGTATATAACCTTCAGTGTATATGCTACAGCACAGTTACCTTCATGTTCCCTTAATATTGAACATAAGTATATAACCTTCAGTGTATATGCTACAACACAGTTACCTGCATGTTCCCTTAATATTGAACATAAGTATATAACCTTCAGTGTATATGCTACAGCACAGTTACCTGCATGTTCCCTTAATATTGAACATAAGTATATAACCTTCAATGTATATGCTACATCACAGAGTTACCTTCATGTTCCCTTAATATTCAACATAAGTATATTACCTTCAGTGTATATGCTACAACACAAGAGTTACGTACATCTTCCCTTAATATTGAACATAAGTATATAACCTTCAGACCTTCCGATCAGATGCATCATATTCCAGTGTTCACGACATTCTTAGAACATTAATAGGAGCATACCTGATGTTGAGTACACAGCCGTCCTGACTTGGACCTTGGTGAAGAGACTGCCAGGGTGTGTGTTGAGAAGCTTGATCTCGGCTTTGAAGTAGTAGTTCTTGCTGCCAGACAGTGTCACGTTGTACGCCATACCTCCCCATTTCCTCACTCTGGGAATGTTTGTTCATTTAGTCAAATTAGTTTTCAAAACCTTTTGAATGGTTTTTGTAGGCATGTTACTTATATTTCATTCATCTTCATGTTGAGATACAGCTGTGAGTGATTAACAAAATAATACTAATGTCACTGTGCATGGCACATTATGGTGTTCTGGTGTTTATACAATTCAGCACAATATAGACACATAAAATTACATGATCATCAATAATTCTCATAATATATATCCCGTTATGTACAGGTATTTCTTGGTCCCATGCCAAGTATGGAGAGTGTGGTATGAACAGTTGTTGACAAATATGACAAGACTAAATTACCTTCCAGATATATTAAATGCTAGGGCATCAGAGGGGAGCTTCACGTGCAGATTTCAATTTTCTTACCGTTACTAAACAAATTTCCAAGACGACGATAGTAACATAGTTTACAGTGAAAGTGGACTAAGTATAAGTTGAATAATGGCAGTAGAACCGATAATGTCACAAAGCCATGAAAGCAAAATTAGCTTACCAAGAGGTGCAAAATAAAGAGGTTTAATGTGTTATAGTGTCAGTGACAAATTCCCGGATCAAAATGATCACATCAAGGGCATGCAAACCATTAGTCAGGAAACACCTACGATTCCGTAAAACGTGCAACATGCCAAGATTAACAGAAGTGTAAACAATGTAGCGCCCAGCACCATCACAAGGCTATAGGATCGGTTTCAACAGCATGGGTCAACACGTGATCGGCAAAGGCCGGGACGACCAAGAGTAACCACCCCTGTCCAAGATCGCGATATCCGACGGCGCCACCAACGTGAAAGGACGACCACAGCCACCTCAACGGCATCCCAAATATGTACCGATAACTGAGATGACAACAATCACCAAGTGTTCTCTCCTCAAGATTTTGGCTCAATGCCGTGTACGGTTCCTCGTATAAATGTATTTCCCTACCTCACACAAAGCTGGCTTTGCGTTTCTTATGATGTCTAAACACTAGAGCTGGATAACCAATCAAAATTTTCCGTCTGCAAAACTTATAGTACATTATAGTAATTATGTATTAAACATATTTTCCAATTTTGAGTGAGTGAGCAAAATAGTGCTCAGTGTCGTCCCATCAGCAATATGTGCACACCTTTGCTGCATGTAATCAGACAAGATCATCACAATAAACTGTAAGAACTGACATTCGAAACTAACAACTGTATCATCTATCGTACACGTGAGTGAGCTGGGTTAAAGCCAATTTGAAAAGTATTCCAGTTAAATCACGTCGTGTCAGCTTGAAGTGGAAGGAGACGTTTACCACTTTGGTGAAACACATGAACACTCGATCGTATAAGGTCATATCTTCAGGTACCCTTGAACTAAGTGCTTACTAATAAAAAATATTTTAAACAATGTAAATACGTAACAAATCAATGAAAAGTTCACACTCAAAACGTGCGGAATAGTGAGCACAGGATACACTGACACGGATCTTCTCCCTTCAGAGCAAACGAATGTGTATGATGACAATGTCCAATGCGACGTCAATCGTATCACAACTACATCTTGATGACATACATCATCCAGATTGTGATTTCCCATAAAGAGTTGGATTGCCTGGATGATGACCTGTCTACTTCACACTGCCGACACCATCGTCCACCTTCTGTACAGTTTCTGCTTGTAGTTGGAGACTGCCAACTCACACACTAAGAGATGATGAAATATCATTTTGTTGATTGCCTTTAAACAGGGCAGACTATCAGAACATATCATAAAACTACCCTTTTGAGATTATTCAATATATTAGACAGTTAATGGTATCGCCTTTGCTTCTGCTGTTAAAGTGGAACCTCCATTAGTAAACCTTACAGATATAGTCAGTTGTAACAGCTGCAGCCGATACCTTCTCGACGTCCTATGGTCCATCTGCGTACATGTAATTTGTACATACCAGTTGAACTGACATACTGGTCTTTTTTACTTACCTGTTGATGTTATAATGTATTTGTATCAAACTTTTTCAAGTTCACAAATACTCCCTAGCGGAAGCACAAAACATGCATATACCATCATCAACTGGTTTCAAGGGTTTTTTTTCCAATTATTGTTTGGTATACATTTTCTGATGTACAAATGCATAATTTATTAGAATTCTGAAAGCATAGTTTATTGAGAGCGATGTGTATGTTGAAAAAATGGACTTTCCAGGACTCCAAACTCCCAAGACATGACAATTTGACAGTGTGTTCATAAGGCAAGAAGGGAATTTGATTAAATGATTTCATGGATAAATAGTCAAGATATTACTAAAATCCTTACTTCCACTGATTAGTCCCGATATAAAATGTTTCGGTTTCTGCCTGTTATTTCTTTCCAATTCATTGGAATACCTGGCAATAGCCGGTGATACTGAACTGTTCCTTTGATATTATACTTTGTTTTCAGTGTATCAAGTAGCGTACGACCTCTTCCATCCCTATATATTTTATAGAAGAACGCGTTATTGAACCATTCGTTCTCTAAACGTTTCAGTGTTCACCCTTGGATCATAACTTATTCGCTGCAACACAAGAGGAAGCCGTACGTATTTGTCATGAACGTTCAGGTTCCCAATTTGACGATCTTTCTTCAAGTTCGAAACACCCATTTGTCGCTATTACCTAAATGGTTAGTGTCCCGTCGGTTGCAGTCAGTCATACATCCAGAGCCGACCGCGGACGCCCAGTCTGGTGTCCTGTGTGCGTTCAAGGCATCACCGACGTCAGTGACACACTGTCTGGTGACTCTTAACATCTTATTCCCAAATATATTCCTGAACTGAACGTTGTGTATAACCATATGCTGAAAGTGTAAAATAATACAAGTTGGTCTGCACCTCATCTTACGTTTGTAATGCCTCCAAATATATTCTGTGAAGAGTTTTGCCAACCTGTTTGTGACCTTAACGCTATGTTTTCCAGCATAGCTGTCAGAGCTCCAGTCAGCGGTGCATCCATTACCGTACCAGCCCCCATCCTCAGGCCGGAACTCCTTCAACTCAAAATCCGAATTGTGTAGAAGTTCTGTTACCCCCAGTACGCTAGGCGCCACAAGTAACACACACACCGTCTTCCACCACATTGCTGCTAATCTATGTGTGCGTTTACGATAAGACGGACATGCCGCTCTGTAGAACAAGCATATGGTTACCCACTTAGGTCAGACAATAGATTGAGTGTGAAGAAGTCAAATGTTAGGGGAGATATGTGCGCCATTTTCAGTAACATTAGTTTGGTGTTATTGTGGTACACTATTTCAAGAAGGTATAAGAACACATGGTTACTGTGTACTTGCTAATACACATGTACATAATTATTAGTTTTGGGTTTGACGTGGAATGTTTGCACTTGTTACGATTTGTGTCGTGTGCAATACATTGTCGATGCATGAAATTGAGAAAAGATCCCCGATTTCGTAGGACATGACAATGAAGGCCTCCTGTCGATGTTGGTTAAGGGAGGTGTCAGCTCAGCGGATTCGGATGCGCAGACAGCTGACTTGAACTTTGTTTTACTGCACGCCTTGAGTGCTGCAGCATACCGCATCATAAGCAGATTATTCACAGTGGGTTATGCGACAACACAACACTCACTCCTTTATCAGCAGTCAGCAGTCATTTGTGGCAAAAGTTATCTCCCGTTTTCATAAAAGACAAACCAAGGTATAGGATGAGGATTGTAGAGTAGAGTAAAATGGCGTTTAGGTTTCATCAAAATATACATTCGTACGTTTTATCTGTTGTTTTTTGTGATTGTTAATACCCGAACGTAGATATTTGCATCTACAAACTTAGTCTCTAGAGTACGACTGAAGGATATGTATTCGCCTCTACAAACTGTAGGTAGATCCCTTGTGAATTATTTTTTTTCAGTTTACCCACGATTTGTCGACTTGTCATTAAATACCAATAATGTCACTGACAAGGAATGTATGTACATTGTGCGAGTTACAGATACATGTTTGTGCGCATTGATATCGTTTAACCCCGGGGTGATAAAACCTCGATGAGTCTGTCTCCTATCACATATAAGTGCGGAGAGTGTTAGCAACAAACCCAATTCATTTTCATCACACTCGTACTCACTCACACATGCTCACTCTCACTCTCTCACTCTCACTCACTCACACATGCTCACTCTCACTCTCTCACTCACACTCACTCACACATGCTCACTCTCACTCACTCACTCTCACTCACTCACACATGCTCACTCTCACTCTCTCACTCACACATGCTCACTCTCACTCTCACAGACGCTCACGCTCACTCTCACTCTCACTCACTCTAAATCACTCTCACTCACACCTGCTCACTCTCACTCTCACTCACTCACATTCACTCACACATGCTCACTCTCACTCACTCATACATGCTCACTCTCACGCTCACACTCACTCACATTCGCTCACACATGCTCACTCTCGCTCTCACACTCTCACTCACTCATATTCACTCACACATGCTCACTCTCACTCTCACTCTCACATTCACTCACACATGCTCACTCTCACTCTCACTCTCACACTCTCACTCTCACTCTCACTCTCACATTCACTCACACATGCTCACTCTCACTCTCACTCTCACTCTCACTCTCACACTCTCACTCTCACTCTCACTCGAAATCTCTCACACTCTCACTCTCACTCTCACTCTCACATTCACTCACACATGCTCACTCTTACATCACTAAGCAGTGATCACCGTTAATTGTCTAATGTTTCGCTAAGGTATAGCCTTGGTTAGGCTACTTGCTTTGTTTTGAATATCTGATTACCGCCGTGTAATATGTCCTGTATTAAAACTTCTGCCATGCCATTTTCAAATGTTCATTTCCATTGATCTGACAAGTGGAATCACATCAACGTCAACATGAGTGAGATGGATGGGAATGAAGTGGCGCGATCTTCATGACGTGAACCTAGTCACGTAAGCTGGATAATGCAATGGCTGCATATATGATAGATGTAAGCAGCTATAAGATAGGCAGGTTATGACAGTGTACTTTCATAACTACGGGCATCAGTTCAAGAAAGGCTGCAAAAGAGTCTCACACTCTCACTCACTCAAAAAAAGGCTGCAAAAGATTTTGTACTCATCTACCAAGCGAGAAAAGCCAAGCCATCCTCTCTCAACGACTACTGACCTGTACCCATCATATCAATTTTACTTTCATGTTTGAAGTGCACTGTAATGCAGTTGTTACTGCTGGGCGTCAGGGCAAGCTTGACCGATTCAGATTGCTTACAGGTCCAAGCATGCACCAATACGCAGAATATATGACCGTTTAGAAATGCACGTGTGCTGTCAGTAGATTTATCATCTGCTTTTGATAAAACTCAGCCACATATAATGATTCAAAATCCTTAGGATACGTCTCTAAATGTATTTTAAATGGACTATAAGTTTCATCCGAAAAGGAACTCAGGTAGTTACTGTTGATGGTTGCCCTTCCCTAAACCAAAAGGACCCGTACATCTATTTTTCCCACCACCAACTTCTTAAGTATTAGTTTTAAAAGTCCGTTGAATATGGCCACTATTTCAGTCACTTTTCTCCTTAAGTTGCTTTTCAGTTTTCTATTGGCTGATTACCATGTCACATCTTAAGTTATTAGCCCTTAAATCGTGTGTCTGTTAAATATGGCCACTATGTTGAAGACGTCATACACTTTTTTCATAAATTGCTTTACAATTTTGTATTGCTGAATTACACCTTCTAAATGCGAAGTGCTATCGGCATTGTATACTCAGTCCTGTCTTGTTGCTTTTCGTGTTAATCTGTATTTGTGTCTGCATTTATGTTTTCCGTAAACATAAGCCTTTCTGCAATGTAAACCAAATCAGACAATACAATCTCATCTAATGGCTCTTGCAAATCTACGATTTATTCAAGTTAAAACCACAAGTAGGCAATGTATGGTACTTTGCGTGCAATAGCACTTGTATTCCTGGGCTAATTTGCATGCTGTCATAAAATATATCAATATATCCGTCTGTCTGTGTGTACATCCCCCAAGAACCGAAAACATTGCTGAGTTTTACCACGCCGTTTATTGCCGTACGCCATTGGCTGTATTTATAGTTCAGTGACTGATGGCCTTGACACTGTAGATACACATGTTCCTACAACACAAGATCGGATAGTGTGTCCTTATATAGGCTACAGGGAACATGTATATTCAATCCCAAATACATATGAAATGGAACAACAATATATAATTCATATTCATAATAATATTCATTCAATCATATTTTTAAATCGGTTTCCTGTTTCAATATCTAATTTACATATTGCGATATCATGCTTCAGACCTGTCCCTGTTGGTCTAAAGAAATATTTCAAACTCTCCGGTTGGCCTTATTTCCTAATCTCCTTGTTGCTGCCTATCTCGCAGAAGCCACAGATAGTAATAACTTCGTTTATAATTGAAGTTAGTTATTGATTATTACCTTTAAAGATAATAAATTATGTTAAAAATTATATTATGCAGTGATATTCAAGCAATTTGCCAAATTACACAATTTAATTAAGACTATTCCTCTTCCACTAAATTTTTCCATTATAAAAGAAAAATATTTCAAAGCATCTGTCAATGAGCCTTTTAGATGATTGAAAATGTAATGTAGAAAGTATGAATTTTTATAAAACGGTAGTGTTTAAACAAACCCTACTTCATTGATTTTGTGACACATGTTCGTCTGTTTATATGATGTTCTATAAAACAGAGAAATATACTATTTCAGTACCGATGTTTAGGTCTGAAGAGTATGATTGTTTGTCATCAAAACACTTCGTCCTGTGACCCATTTCGAAGTCATGTCAAATACCAGATGTATTCTAATAATGAGTTGTTTGCACTACTCGCGCACTCGTAGAATTCACCACATCGTACAGTACATGCACGTTTCCATTGTGCTGACACATCGTGTTGTATACTGCTCTTGAAAAGCGTTAAGCCCGACCCTTTTACTCACTCACTCACTCATTCACGTCATGACAGCAGGGAATAAACTTTTCTCTGTCTCTACGCAATTCACTTTGAACAATACGTATTAATCGTGAGGGGGATTCCAAATCTAGCCGACGTTAAATTATCGCTTTGCGCTATGCCAGTACAATGTCAGAACAAATTATGTTTCTTATGGCACCAGGCTAGAGACTCCGCTGGAATAAACTCCACTGTTATATATGGTATTTCTGTGGGGGTCATTGTCGACATTAGCGTCATTCACGTCATGACCTTGACCCGTTAGGTTACAGATAATCGCTTGGGGATCGCAATCCGCTGAGGCCATACATGTCCTAGAAAAGATAACCAATGTTCTTAAGTTCGGTACATGGATGTAGTGCCAAAACTCATGCCAAATAAGGAGATAAGCATGAGGGAAAATATTGATCATTTGAACTGGTCAACATTATTCTTCACTTATATATAATGCCAGAGGATTGATATCCTTGGATAATGACATTTATGTTGCAATTACGAAATTTATACATTGCATGTGTACCGTTCTTTGCATGTAACACTCAGTTTACAAAATAAGGAATATCTAAGTGTACAGAATTTAAACATGTATGTCATAGGCATATAGCCAGCATATTGTAATGTTTTTCTCATGTTACTGTAATCAACATTATCACAAAAACAAATCTTGCACAGAAAAAATGTCATAACTGCATCTCTCCACTGTGCCAATATCGATACATCGGACATTTCTTAAAATATTTGTGACTCTAAATATCCTGTATGAAGATTTCTGATTTGACGCCATGGCGTGTTTGTGTCTTGACTACATTGAAGACATAACAATGAGGGTTTCTGAGCCTTACATAGAAGACCACACCTAAAGTATTAAAACTATACATTTTTCGACATAACCCCTTTTTTCAAATTGTACCAACGATGTTGGAGGGCGTTTATCACAGTTTCGTAGAATCATTTCTCTTGGATTTCCAAACAGTTCTCCACAACTGCTGTGTCGTCAATCGATTCGAAAACGGTTCCAACTAGAGCTTTCTTTATGAATTATATCTGAAGGAGCCAGATCAGGAGCATCAGGTGGGTGCTGAAGGAATCCAAAGGCTCGACACTCGCGGATTGTAGCAATGACAATAACTGACATGAGCATTAGAGCATTGTATTGATGGAAGAGCACACCTTTTCTCAGATTAAGAATCTTAGTCTTAGTTGTATCCCGTAATAACCTCAAAAGTGCAGCATTACCTCAAAAGTGCAACATAATCTGCACTGCATATTGTCTAACCTTATGATGACACCCCTGGACATCCTTACACATGGAGGTCACAGCCGTTCCAGCAGAGGGGATAGTCTTTGCCCTCTTTGGTGGTGGTGATGGCAAATGTTTCCACTGTTTGGAAGTGGTGAACTCAGGTTTAATCTATAGTTATAAATCGTCTCACGAACCTTCAATATCAGCTTCAAACATCTATATTATTACAGGACATGTTGTACCTGGTGCGTCTTTTATCAAATGTTAGAAGCGTTGGAAGTCGACGAGGTGATCATCGATCTTCCATCCCAGGAGTAAGAAAGTCCCATTAATTGTATGCGGTTAACCAACCAGAAGGTTCAGTACAACCCTGGCCTGCTTTCTTTGCTACTGAATAACAAAGATAGTACATCCAAGATATGCATCCTAGTCGCCCGGCAGGCTCTTTACCCACGCAACACACAAGACAATACGGTATGTAACATGGTGTATTCAATGTGTATAAATACATGACAGAAGCTTCAACGTGTTATCCAACAAGAATGTGCGACACTTGCATGGTGTTTCCTGCAATGGAAAACAGAAGATGAAACAGACACCGTTCAAATGATAACAAGCATGACCGCCACGTCTAACGTTTTACATGTTTATCAAGGATTGAAAGATTTAGTGTTCGTAGACGAACATGTATGACAGGAGTTTCCTTATAGTGAGTGAATGTCATGACGCAGTCGGCTATGTTACACTACAGTAGCCCGTAAACCAGTGCGAATCAAACCGATTGATGGTTCATAGTACCGTATATTAGATCGGCTAAGAGATATGTGAACATACCAATGCCCGAGGACGGATAAGAGGTGTGAGTAATAAAAGCAGTACCTGATCCACTGACTGTAACGTTAAGGTCCGCCCCTTTACTTGTCAATGTAAACTTTTCCTCCTTTAGTGTGTGACCAGCCTTTGTGACTCTTAGGGTGTACTGGCCCCTGAAACCTCGGAGTGAGGCGTGCCCAGATGCTATAGGCGTAGTTATATTGGTCCTCCAGTCTCGCTTGAACAGTTGCTGATATCTCCGACCAGCAGCATTAGGCTAAGTACAGGATATGCATTAAAACATAATTAGCTTTCTCAAGATCTCTAAAAAGTCTCAAAGGGTTATGAACAATCCCAACCTGGAATTCTGTAATTGTAATTAAATATAAACGTTTGATTTAATTCATTTTATGGAAACCATTTCTCTAAAATTTACTGACAGAATACTTAGCATATTTCTCTTACTTTAACATCGCTTCCAGTAAACAAAGCTCGGATGGGTGCATGCATATTTCCGTCCCAGAATCCCCAGAATATAATTCCCTCCACTTCTGGTGTGCTGAAGAAGAGTGTGAGCAGGTCCTCCAGATAGTCCGCCCTGCTGTTGTCATCACGTACATCCAGGTCAAACTCCGTGATCCACAGGGGCAGTCCGGTTGCCACCATCTGGTCCAGGCGGTACTGACATCATATGCACAGGGTTATGATACACATGCTGTGATGACTATTGGCGGTGGGAGCGGTAGGAGCGGTAACACGCATGACATGAACCAATATATTTCAATTAAATTATATCATTATCCAAGTATACCATGAACATGCAAATTAGTAATGTTTAGTCATGATTTGTTGTCTGATTTCAAAGTGGGTAGTATTTGTTACCGTATACCTTGACGACAGACACATCTATAGAAGAGTGCATGTGCGCTTGTATTCCGAGGCCATAGAGGGGGACATCGGGTCTCGCCTTGAACATCATCGCCTGGTTGTAGTAATCCTGGAGCATTATCAGAGCACCATGTTGTCCAGTGTCCTCGCCAGAGTTACAAGTAAGAAGTGAAGTAAGTATCTTATCATAATAACCACATGACAAACATCCATGTACAGGTAACTAGCTCCTAGAGATGTCTTACCTGTGTAGAGTATCTGTCCTTCACCACGCCGTAGTCGTTCAGAAACAGTTTCACTGTGGGGTCTACCTTATGTACCTCCTTGAACATCCACATGGTGATGTTCACGTCGCCTGTGCCGGACTCGAAGAAATTACCGTGGATGTTTTCGTTGTTCACGTCCCAGTGCTCAACTCTGTTCAGATCAAACACATGTCACGTAGAGCTTTATAATAAGTGCCTTGGTAACTTCGTGGCATATAGGGAACTGATACATGATGCAACTGTGGAACACACGAACCGCCTGTATTAACCCTAGTCGGATCGGGGAAGTAGTAGACACACATAAACAACACAAAAGCCTAAATGCAATCATGCAACTACAGTCAGCATTATTTCTCACATAAGATGTTCGCATAGTTGCCGCCTCCGTGGTCTAGATGATAGATAGTCATGTAAGCGGAAGTTCGTTGGTTTGGTCCCATGGGCGCGTCACACTGCAATACTTCAAAAGATGGTAAGTTATGATACTCTCCATAGCGTTAAGAACGAAGGGTATAAAACAAGGACTGGTCGGTCAATATTTTACGTCTGAGGGAAGGATCCATGTTAAACTGTGGATGGCATAATTCAGCGATTTAGCACTTTAAAACCAGCATGTATCCAGACTAGTACCAGCAACAACACACACACGCACGCACGCACGCACGCACGCATGCATGCATGCATGCAGGTCGTCGCTATATAAGTGGAATTATCTTGAACACGCCGTGAACCCACATTTCACCTCCCCCACCTCATACTGTACCCATGTTGCCAGCATTCAAGATTTGAAATGTTTAATCCTGTTGTCTGATCTATGTATTTCTGACCATGACTGTGTTGATAACCGCAGTATGTATTTGAAAGCACTTCTTTCACAAACCAGATCGGTAGCTAATTTCAAATATTGATTTCGCTTTATGAAAGCCTGAACATACGGTGTAGTACAATATTTTGTGCAAGTTTGACATAATGTTTCATACAGAAAACCCGGGAAACAACGCCTTAAAGAGTTTACTGCGTAACTTAGCACCATCAACACCGCTTTTCATTTAGTTGTGACGTACTGTGACGTCATGTCTACCGCGTCACCATGGTTGGGCAACGTTATCCGTTGACATCATGACGTAATAGTGGTGTGTAGTTCAGACGACTGAACGCTGTAATAGATTCTTCATTTCCCCGTGGAGGACAGTAAGGATACTGCCTGCAGGATTCGGTTTTGAATGACATTTAACGAGTATCGAATTTACGTCGAAATTACATAGTGAGTTCATCTTCAAGTAAGATGGATATTTGGTTTTTAGTAGTGCTGTTTTCATAGATCAAAATATAAATCCCAAAATAAAAGAAGGCACTTGATCATGTCAAACTATATTTTCCAGAGCAAACGGCTTGAACATGGACTTGCGTACCTAAGTCGCTAAATAATACTACTACAAGTGCCTATGCGTCCTATGGACCACCAACTGCAGGAGCCTTCCAATGCCTGTGTGTTGCGATACACTTACAGCTTTCACTTTATATGATGCCTCCTTACATGTGATGTTCCCTACAACATGAGCTTTACCCAATGCATCCACTCACTCATACAACAGCCCGTCTTTGTTCGTGTACCCATCTTTACTTACTTGCCCTTGGTCCTTGGAACAATGCCATTGATTCTTCTTTCCATTTGCTGAATGAGAGCTTGGCCAGTAGTGTTAGCTAACCAAGCGGGCACATTTGATTTTCGGTCCCAGAACAAGTTGTGTGCTCGTATGTTCGTCCTGGATGCATAAGGGCGTATAATTTATCTTTAATTAACAACTGACTTCAATATTTTGTTTGCGGTTATGGAAGTATACACGTACAGCCGGTGTGCACAATGTACGCGGATTATAACTCCATATAAGCCAAAACATGTTCAAGTCAATTCTTCCACATAAGTACGACAATAATAATAACTACACAGAGTGCTTATTGAATCACACACAAAACTGTTGACAACATTGCAACATCGGTGACATCATTCAGCACATGCAACACAAACCCCGCCCAGCCAATCAGGAAACAGTTATCTGTTGATGGACGTGGCCTATAAATGGTGGTTTAAATAATATTGCTTGGAATCAGTGGCATTTTATTTCTAATTGTAATTGCTTCTATAGCATCTCCTTACCCGTGCTTCAGCATCTCATCAACAGCATTCATAGCGGTGGCATAATTCACTTTTCCCTTGTAAAATTAAAAACAAATGTATCATATCAGATGAACAATGCATAGAAACACACACTGAATAATGAATATATTTCATTTCAGTTAATTATTGTGAGTCAGTTGGGTTTGATCCCGCTTTTTTATATATTGCTGCGTGTCGAATTGATGCAGGTCTTTCACGTTTACCGCCCACGAGCACGGACGTGGTGCTCACGAACACAAAGACGAGATGAGAGCGAATCAGGGATTCGTTCCAACGATCACAGGTCCCTGATACGCCTAAAGGAAGCAGCTCTACATAGATGACTAGACCATCCGTGCGCCTTAGTGAGTGAGTGAGTTGGGTTTAACGCCGCTTTTAACAGTATTCCAGTTATATCACGGCGTGTCAGCTTAATGTGGGAGGAAAGCCCGAAGTGATGCAGGTCTCAGACGTTTACCACTTCGCTGAAACCCACGAGCACGGGTATGGTGCTGACAAACCAAGAAACATAATCGAGGCGAACCGGGTTCGAACCCACAATCATAGGTTTCTGGCCTGCCTAAAGGACGCAACTCTGCACAGCGAATCGCGGCGCCTTAGACGACTGGGCCACCCGTGCCCCCACCGTGCGCCTTAAATATGAGGAACTGTTTTTAGAGACACATCTTTCTGGTCCTGTGATGCTTTCAGATTAGATGTGTAACATGCGTGTATAAACCCGTACTTCTGTCCATTCCATCATGCGCCATTTGAGAAAGTTCTCAATCGTTGCCCATTCAAAATTGTCATAAAAGACTTTCTGGTATGTAGTCTCTTGGGGATTAGTCATTGCACTGGCCTTTACCGCAGAGCCAAAGCCAAACTCGTGCTTGTTCTGGATAACCTAACAACAAAAACAAATTCAGTAAACGTATAACAGTTGTTTCGTAGAAATGTGAGTTGAAATGGGTTCAACGTTGCGTGTAGGATTATTGCACTTATATCCCGACTTGCGTCCACGTCTTGTGTAGGTCTGCTTGTACAGGTCGGGACAGATACTCCACTCAAACACAGTATACTGACTCCGAGTCGACCAGTCCTTGTTTCAGCCCCATAATGCCTAGCGCCAGGTGGGGTAACAACAAGTACAAGATGTTAACATCTTTTAGTATAACGCGGCCGGGATCGAACCCCCGACTTTCCGCTGTCCGCCAGATGCTCTACCACTAGACCACGGGGGTGGTCGTTTCGTAGAAAGAAATATATGCCTGTCAACAACGGCTTTACTAGAACTCTATGTCAACTGAGGATATGATATGAAGTATACGCGTGTGACGCTTGGTGCATAATGATCTCACCTCGATGGTGACACCAATAAGATCCTTTGTGGATGAGTGTCCATAGATGCTAAAACAGTTCATAAAAGAAGTTTATAATCACAAAGGCAATTTCAAATATTGCAGCCAATTAAGGATGAAGGAATATTGTAGAATAGCAACTTTGACGTTTCGTTAGAATAACAGAGGTATCAGAAGCCCGTGCTACCATCTTTGAAAATGTGCATAGTATTACTTACATTTATGTAAAACACAACAAACCATACTGCTTTCTTATATAGAGCTACCTTATTGCATATTCGAACGGAAACACAGTGTTGAACGGTAACTCATTATTAAATCTACTCAGCATGCAAATATATATACAGTATATTTTTCCATTGTATTATGGGCCGGTGGCCTGATGTCCCGAATAAATTTGTCTGTCTGTCTGTCTGTCTGTCTGTCTGTTACACAATGTTGTTCAATACATTGTTGAATCAGTGATACAGATTTTTCTCCTTACCTGACGGTAATATCTGCTTTCCTCATCTTATCGATAGTAGCATTAGCCGTGGTTTTCCAGTTGATCGGGAGGGGTGGTATTTCGACCAGACTAGAGGAATCCAAGAGGTAGTTGACACTCGCGTCCTTTGACTGAATGTACAGTCGAGCGGACGTTAAATCTAATCCAGGAATACATACAGTTAAGTACAGTACATGCACGCTCGTCACGTGAATTATCGACAGCAACAATTAAACGATTGACTGCAAACTTCTACTTTACCTCGAAACAAACATTTCCAAGGGTCCAGTGTAAAGTAAACTCCAGAATTCTTGCGTTAATGTTCTACGTGTTTGTGGCCTGTCTATTAAGCCAGTCCCAGTACTTAAATGTCACGCCTGCAGGTGTTGAAAAACCTCGCTACTACAGCCTACACGTCGGAGTTGGAAAGTTTCCCGACTCGGGATGACCAATCGGAATTGGAAATCTTCCCGACTAGGGATTACCAATCGGAGAAGGAAAGTTCCCCAACCAGTGAATACCCGTCCTCTTATTCAGCCCGGCTTACCAGCTGGAGTTGTAAAGTCGCCTCCAATAGCTTGCCAGATGTGCGGCTGCATCACCTTGTTCTCAGACAACGTCAGGTACTTGGAACCTCAAACACACAAATTCAACAACTTCACAGAGTGGACATGTTGTGATGTGTATATAAAGACCTGTAAGCAGCATAAGGAAGCAAAAGGCGGCTGATTGGCGATAGCCAGGAAATGCAGCTTCAGCCATGTGTGACAATGTACCATGTGAGCGAGTGAGTGAGTATGTTTTGTTGCCGCTTATAGCAATAATCCAGCAATATACCCGGCGGGGACACCAGAAATGGGCTTAAAAAATTGTACGCACGTGAGGATCGAACACATGAATGTGTATGACAATGTAACACGTGTATTGTTGACATGCAATGTAACAGGTGTATTGTTGACATGCAATGTACCATGTATGTGTACGTCAATGTTCCAGGTGTATCTATGACACACAATGGACTGGGTGTATCTATGACACACAATGGACTGGGTGTATTTATGACATACAATGGACTGGGTGTATTTATGACATACAATGGACTGGGTGTATTTATGACATACAATGGACTGGGTGTATTTATGACACACAATGGACTGGGTGTATTTTTTACATACAATGGACCAGGTTTATGTATTACATACAATTGACTGGGTGTATTTATGAATAACAACGGACCAGGTGTATTATGACAGACAATGGACCAGGTTTATTTATTACATACAATGGACCAGATGTGTCTCTGACAAACACCAGGTGTACGTATGGTCTGTCGAATAAAAAATAAGAACAATGATAATAATCGCGTGTTAACAACCACATTTGATCTTTATCTGAATGATGATGCAACTGAAGACTTTCCAATGTGGAGACGAAGGGACAATCCAGGACACATTCTTACCGCTGGTCATTTGCAGGAAGACCATCACCTGTGTGTTCGCAGTCAGGTCGTGTGTAGGGACATTTTGTAGTTTTATGTGAGCCTTGAAGTAATAGTTGGTGCCTGGTTTCAAAGTCAGATGGTAGCTCATGCCCGCCCATGTTCCTCTCCTAGAAATGGTAAATCTAACATGGTACCTTTTTCTGACTGCAGCTGTGATCCGATGTCTTTATTCATCACATAAACTCACCTAGTGAGTGTATAGCCAATACCGTGTAGTGCCACATCCACACCCAGTGAGACACTAGGTGCAGAATAGGTGAGCAGAGATGATCGGGGTGTCACCTAGTATGTGTAATCGTGCCCCAACCACGTGTGATTACACGTACCAACCTGCTGATTATTAATAACCAAGGCAATTTTAAAACATATGTTATTACAATTTGAGTGAAACAAATTACGAGACAAACTCTCACCCGAGATATGAAATATATCAACACATATCAAAAGGGTGGGATTCTATTTATCATTAAACATCACTCTCTCTAATCTTTTAGTCTGTAAACAGTTATATTTTTTACGAGAGAGTAGAAAGTACAGCTAACTATCTTCAGTAGCAGAACGATTAGTAATGGCATTTCATTTTTGTCTTCACAGTAACCGGTGACGTCAAAATGGTCTGCAAATCACCATAGTGCAATAATTTGGTTGACTATATCCTTTGATCTCACCAAAGCGATATCTACTGTGGAAGCCAGTGTTGGACGATAGAAAGGTTCACAAAACCATTCTAATGAGGGACCATATTTACTACCTGTGGCGATACACGAGTGTGAGACACACGGACACTAGGACGACTGTGTTTTGAGCAAAGGGTTCATACTGCAGCACTCCGAACCACCCCTGAACCCCAGCTTGGTATCTTGGGAAACGTCTTGGAGATATGGTGGGCTAAACAATGCTATACATTGTTTCTGCTTTTCGGGAATCCCCGAGTTTCAGGTAACTGTTGCAATGTGTTTGCAGTCTATGTCTGACCTGTTGGTGACGCGCACGCTATGGGCACCGGTGTAGCTGTCGTCTGATGCCGTGGCGGAGCAGCCATTTGCGTACCAGGCTCCAGATGACTCACTGAACGTACTGAGCTCAAAGTCGGCGTTCTTCAGCAAGTTGATTTCTCCAAAGGCGAGACCTATTGCCACAGTTAGTAACAACACCAACACCGACCGATGCGACATGCTGACAACAGTTCACCAGCAGACAGTGAAAGCAGTCACCGTATTTACCTTATCTTTCTTATCTAGTACAGGTGTGCCGACTGCATACACAACGATACATATAAAACGGAACATGTAAATACACTCGGTGAAAACACAATATTGAATGTTATGGCCACTCACATGAAACTAGTTTATTTCTAGATGCAAGTGTTTGTGAACTAACATTTGTTCCACTTTGTTGACAGTTGGAATACCATGATTCTCCCTTGACGCATTACTATACCCTGCAATAAAGGCAGAAGTGGTTTTAGATGTATATTTTAATTTATATCATTCAAATAATTAACAGCTGGTATTCGATTGTTCAAAATTGGCAAATATCATTACCGTTGACCCAGATTCCATACGACACACATGAAACAGTAGATTTTCAAGATGAAGATCATCTATTCTCAATATATTTGTATGGTCACCATTAGAGCCCTAAACTGACTGGCATCATCATCCCATCGAAGCAATCAGATCAAGAATTGTGGCCTTGAGAATGTTCACCCACTCTGCCTGCAGTGATTGCCAACTGTCGGAGGTGCTGTGATTGTTGCTGACGTGATTGCAGTCGTTGATCCAGTGCATCCCATAAATGTTAAATTGGGTTTAAATCTGGAGACCTGGAGGGCCATGGCAGGACTTGGATGTTGCGATTCCTGAAAAGACTGTTGTCAGTCTTGCTGTGTGAGGTCGGGTATTGTCTTGTCGGAAAATGATGATCACTTATTGCATAATGGGAAGGACGTGTGGCCAAAGACTCTCATCCGTGTAACGTTGTACCGTTACATTCCCCAGAACTTGCATCAAGTGTGTTCTACCAGTGATATAGATGGCTTCCCAGATCTTCACACTGCGACCACCAAATCTGTCCACTTCCTGTATACAGTGTCGTGCATAACGTTCCCCGCGACGCCTGTAAACACGATGTCTACCATCCGCATAACGAAGCATAAAACATGACTCGTCAGTTAAAAATATTTGTCTCCCTCTCAGTTGCGGCCATACTCTGTGACCTTGACGTCCCACCCGACGACACAGTTAAAATGACACCTCGAACCTGTCGTCTAGCGAGAATACTTCACAAATGTGGAAGGCGATATGTGGCCTAAACATTTCAAGCTTGACATTGACATTAACAGCTGAATATTCCACTCTAATCATCACTTCCCACTGCTACTTTTCAATGTAGATATTACCCTATCAGTCTAGTCTGAATTGTTTTGACTTTCCAAGCTTCACGAGTAATGAAGTGTTTCAGGTATCAGGCATACAGGTATCCACTCAATTTGTAATCACGAAATGCCACGTCCCTTTCTCGCGTGGAAAGAAAACAAGATAGAACATAATCCTGAACGTTCTTTTCATGGAATATGTATATACAATTGTTTCAGAAAATATGCATCATCCCTGAAATAGGTCAATCAAGATCAAGTTCGTGTTCATAAACCAGTTTTAATTTTAGTAATACGAAAGGTGAAATGTCATCATTTGTTGATAAGACATTAGCAGCTTGAATAAGTGATCAATGAAGAGAAAACATCCTACTGGAGAGAGCGTCTTTAAATATTTTTATTATTCTTCCATGAATTATTTACCATTACAATTGACCAAAAACGAGCAAAGAACGTAACGTATGTTCAACTCTAGATTCACCTTCCCGTACTTACAATGATCAATTTATTAACGAAATGTATTTAAATTTATTGACATGACGCCATTTCCGTGAATCAAGTGTTTTTATAGTCGACAGATAATGATGGCCAGCTAAAGATTAAGCGATATCTCTGCTCCGCAGGAACCGAGTGTAAACTGTTGCTCTTGAACAGTTGTCCCATCCTTCTTGACTCGAAGTGAATAGTTCCCCTTGAATCCACGAGTCCTGACTGTTCTATCCGCCAGAGAATGTGTTTCGTGTGTCCGCCAGTCCTGTTTCACTAGTTGATGCCATCTCACCCCAGCTGCATTTGGCTACAAAAACAGCAAGACACAGTTGTAATATCTGCCGGAACTAAAACGTTAATTAATTACGGACACTTGGCTACATATCTTGTAATATTTACATCAAAGCAATGTTATCTAAATCTACCCTCACTGTTCAGACAGGTAGACCGATGTTCGATATAGAACTTTCCTTTAGTGATGTGAAAGATAATACCACCTAAGTATCGCCAACAGTCTTAAGCCTGTCAAATGAACCAAACGAAAATGCCGTTCTCCGTGTACAGGAGAGATTTACGGACGCATCAGGAGGATGACTGAGCGTATGTGTCCACGTGTGTGGGTGTTCACGGTGTGAGTATTGGCGCGTATGCACGTGTGTGCGTGCATGGTGAGTGCGCCTGTGGGTGTGCCCATGTGTGATTGCATTGTGTGTACGGGTATGCGTGTGAGTGTGTGCATAGTGTGGGGGTGAGGGTTAGTGCCGCAATACTTGTGAGTCCATGTGTGCGGTGTGTGTGTGTGAGAGAGAGAGACTAGAGGACTGGGGCGCGACTATCCGTGTGTACAAAAACAGCTTTAAAGATATCAACCGTTTAATAAACATGCAGCTGTATTACACATTGTGTAACACCAAAACGAGTGCAAATATTAAAAGCTCTCAACATCCTTTGGCCTATTCATCGACATTAAGTGTGGAGATGATAGATCACTGAGAGGAGTTTATGCACACCCGATGACCCTAGCAACCTTGTTGCTAAGCTGACGACACATGACAATGTTTCGCCGATGGATCTTGCAACACAATTCCACAAATTACGTCATCGGGTATTGTGACGTAATTGTGAACTTTGTGGTGCATGCGCAGGGCCCCGTTCCACAAGGCGATCGTACTCTGGCACAACGACAGTCTAAATCAAAGTATTTTAGTTGCGATAACCTTGGTGCTACAATAACTTTGTGGAACGGACGCCTGAATTCTAAATGTGGACTGTTATATGGAATTAAATTAATACGTTTAAACTTTTTACGTGTTTGAAGTATTATTCCGTAAAACTAAATTTGATTATGCTGTGGATCGTGTAGCTGTCAACCTATTCACACACGACAGTATAATTCTAAAAAAGTTATAAATGGCAAGTAATAGATAAAATACTACACTCGCTCCCGTGTAAAACCAATTTTATGAAACTCGTGAATAGTTGTGTCTGACTAACTTTCGCTCGTCAGATACCAGAACTATTCACTCGTGTCATAAAGTTGGTATTGGTTTAGTATTCTATATCAATTCCATGCCCGGTTCAACTAACGCCATTGGCAACATCCTTACCGTGACAGATTCTCCGTTAGCCAGAGCAGCATCAGTGTTCCATATCTTGCCGTCCCAGAACCCCCACAGTGTGACGCCGTGTACGGCGGGGGTGCTGAAGTACAGGCGCAGCACGTCCTCGAGGAGTCCAGCCTTCTTGTTCTGGTCAGGCTCGTCAATGTCCAGCTCGGTGATCCATATCGGCAGCCCTACCTCCACTATCTGGTCCAGGCGGTGCTGGAAGCACACGAGATGAGCGCATAAGATTAAACATATGACCGAGGCAATAGGACACAGTCACACTGTTGACGATGAGATCAATCTGCACCCTAAGCACCAGCATCAAGTACACTGGCGTACACTGGTTCATACGGGTCTCACCTTGATGAGCGTCAGATCTAGGGGAGGCTTCAGGTGGCTCTGGATCCCTACGCCATACACAGGTGTTTCACTCCGGAACATCATGGCTTGGGTTCGATATGCCTGACACGATATGAAATACAGAAAATTGTGATCATGACATGTTTCTTACATTTCTGATATCCAAAAGTAATTATAACTAGTTGTGAAATGACATGAAAGACCAGCGATTCCAAATGGTGGGCGAGTCCAGCCTAAGGAACAGTATACTTGTGGAGTGCTGGTATGACTGTTATAACATTTCAGTTACTTGATGGCGTTAGTTCAAGTATGTTAACATAATCAGTCTGCTCTAAGTGTTTGTGATACTCAAAGTTTTGGATGCATGTTTTTTCGTCACATCGTTAGCTTTGTATATGTTTAAATTCCCGTAGCTCCTGCATACCAGTATAGTAGTATTCCACAGCTGTACATGTATTGTTTCTATACCCATATACAAGTACACTGTAAAGCTACTTGCTAGGGACAATTTACAGTTGAACTTGTTTGACGTAGAGTTGAAATAGCTCAATAAGCATGACCCATATGCCAACTTACCCGAATATAGAGTTCTTGTGACTTTAACACTTCGTACAACTTCATACCTGAGTAAACTGTCCTGAACTGACTATAGCAAAGTCATTGAGGAAGAGTTTAGGCTTGGGATCCATGGAGCGGACGGCGGAGAATATGTCCATTGTGATGTTTACATGTCCTGTAGCCTCCTCGTAAAAGTTGCCATGAACGTTTTCATTGTTCACGTCCCAGTGTTCAAGTCTGAAAGGATGACATGTTACAATGTAGACATGTAATCTCTGTGAGACATCAGCATAAGTGCGTGTATGTGAGTTGGATGGCATGAATTTCTATGAAGACGATGCTGTTCTTAGGGAAACTGTTTGATAGGCATTCTAGAAGTTGGTGACTATGTAAGAAAACGTACAACTTAATGGATAACAACTTTTGGATTATTGTAAATAATGACGTTTCAGTGAAGATTCTTACACCGTACATTCTTATCCAGCTTGATAACGGTGTAAGAATCTACATAGAAACGTCACTATATGCAATAAACCAAAAGTTGTTAATACCCATAAAAATGTACGTTTTCTTTCTTATTCTTAAAGTGTTTGAATGAACAAATGATGCATGTACTCACTTCCCTAGAGTCCTTGACGTCACATTCATCCCCCGCGCCACCATCGCCTGTACGAGCGCATCCCCTTGTAGAGACTGAACCCAGGCAGGGTCCTTTGTAGGCACGCCCCAGAAGACAGTGTGGCCTCGCACCTTAATGCTTTAAATATAATATGTTTTTAGACGTTATCCTTAGGACAGGACCCGACATTGGTTGCAGTTAAAACTTTTCGTATTAGTTCTGCATACACCAATACAGTGAAAATCAGAAACAAACCACACGTCATTATTCGTCCGTGATAATTTTGAACATTTACAAAACCCTTAATGACACATGGTATGCTTTGATTGTTTGACTGAAACAACTACAATAACAGCGCGGTTCTTTCCTGTGGATGTGAAAACAAATGTGCACCGGTACTTGGTACATTTATCCTCGTGATACAGCTGTAGAAAGGGTGAACACTTCAGTCGTCTTATCGCGTGTATTAGCTGCCGTAGGTGTTTCCGCCTGAACAGCCCGTGTTTTCCCTTATGTGAGCAGTACAACGATGCACTTAGTCTAGTTTTCTCAACTCGATTTTTCGAATTTCGAAGACGCCTCACTTTCAGTCGTGAACATTTTCGGCAGATATTGTCTATGTCATGAACATTAGTTTCATTTTGCACCAACTTGATTTTCAAGTTCTCAGTGTTTCAACAACAACTAGAGTAAAAAAAAGTATTTAAAGTATTTTATCATTGGTAAAAGGACTAGGTTGAGAAGGTTGTTACTCTATACTGTAGCGTTCAGTTGAAAAGAGTGCCGCCTAGACTCAACGAGCAGACACGGTACAGGGAACATGGGAACTACGCCCATCTACATGCGGTCGGGCGACCAGTCTTCAGTTCAGGTAAACCTCCCCGGGGAGGTAAGCACATACGTTGGCACAGGTGTCATTGAACTGAATGCTACATAGTGTGTGCGTCTCTGTTTCTCAGTCACCGTGTGTTACCAGAGAGTTGTGTAACTCACCCTCGTTCAACAAGCTCGTTCACAGCGGTCACCCCAGCGTCGTAGGTTAAAACATCCTGGCGAACACAAACCGATTATCACACAGCACGTATATAAGACAAGTTTAGTCTACGTACCTAGTTCTCAGCGATATGTAACAAAGTCAATTACAAAACGTACTCATATATTTTCAAATTCTACTAAATTTCTACATGTACATTTGGCTTACATTTTGTTTGTATTTTGTATGTACAATGCACATTCGTGAAATGAAGTCACGTTAGTTGAACATTAGTTTGTTATTTTTAAGTACAACTGATCACAAGAGCTTATGACTGATGCTCTGAATTATAACGTACATATTCCCGTGTGTGACCTGTCAGTCACCTATGGTCAGAGAATGTTCGAGTTAGGCTAAAACTCAGTGTCCCTCTGTGTTTTAGGTCTACATATGTTTACCTTATTTCTCTCTGTCTGTGACCACTTCAGCTTATTTTCAATAGTTGCCCACTCAAAGTTGTCATAGAAGAAGTTCTGATAGGCTGTGTAGTTGCTGCTTTGGACTATTCTGTCAGCGCTCACTGCAGTGCCGAACCCGAACTCACTTGTTAGTTGTTGTATCTGTAGTAACGATAGGTATCTGTAAAAGCATGCTCCTCAAGGCAGTGGTCATGAAATCCACAACAATGGCGACTTGACTTGACGTTCTCCGATCTGTACCCACCTGCTGTAGGAGACATAATCAGCCATAACGTTCACTTCCCTAGGAGCGAACGTCGTTAAATGAAACACTGCTATGACTCAACAGAAAATTGTAGTTTGTAACATGCGTGTGATGTTTCACTTGATGAGGATGCTTGTGATTCACCTACCTCCACAGTCACTCCATCCACTCTGCCGGAAGTAGCACTGCAAGAAGCAATACATGGAATGTTATGTTACAATAGAACTAATTACAACTGCAGCAAGGTAACCTGTGAATGGCCTGAGATATAAACTAGAGGGCAAACAAAACGCCACCAAAAAATATTGGTCGTCAGTTTTCAACACATTTGCCAATGAGCACGAAACAGTTGGGAACACATAGCAGGAATGCAACTTCCCTATTCCCTGTTAACATGGGCACGTACTTCACATGATTTGCGAGAAAAGTTAATTTAATCACTAAAAAATGCAAAATGTGCACAAAGTTACCCGTATGAAATTCTGGTTGAAAACGTGAGCAGCATTGTACTCTCTCACCACATGAAATCGTTTAAAACAACGAACATGCCTCGACTAACCGCAGAGCAGAGGGAGAAAGCCATCGGTATGTTGCAAATGGGAGCGACGCAGGAGCACGTTGCCAGGATCATGGGCTGCTTCAAGTGCACCAACGCAAGACACGTCACAGGCAAACTGGCAGTACTGCAGTACCGCAGACAGGCCGAGGAGTGGAAGACCCAATGTCACGACAGGAAGACCGGTATTTACGGGTGCTTCACCTAAAGTCCAGATTCCTAACTGTGACGTCATCATCCGCAAACAGAATTGGACATTCAGTCAGCAGAAGGACCGTTGCTAGAAGACTCCGCCTGTATGGTCTCCGTGTCTATCGACCCTTCTAGGGCATGGCGTTAACGTTTCTACACCGACGTCACAGACTGAGTAGGGCCTGGACTCTACAGCAGTGGCAGCAGAGAAATTGGCGAAGACTGCTCTTCAGCGACGGGAGTAGGTGCTAGCTCTTCAAGTGTGATGGGTGGGTTCGAATCTACCGACGACGTGGTGAACGGACGGCACATTGTGGTAGTGTTATGGTCTGGGGTGGCATCTGCGGGGAGCAGAAAACAGATCTGGTCATCATCGACGGAATTCTTACTACACGTCGTTACGTTGATGAAGTTTTGTAGCCTGTGGTGCTGCCTTTCCTGCAACGACACCCACGGACGCTTTTTCAGCAGGACAACGCCACCCCTCATACAGCTCGAGACACTAGCGACTTTCTGAACGCCACCAACGTGACGGTATTACAGTGGCCAGCCAGATCACCGGACCTGTCACCCATAGAGCACCTCTGGGACCAACTTGGACGCAGAATTCGGAAACGTCAACAGCCGCCATTGACGAGGGATGCCTTGGCAATTGCCCTGCAGTAAGAATGGCGTAGGATACCCAATCAGGATGTCAGGAGACTCGTGTACTCAGTTCGACGCCGTGTTAGGGTCTGCATCGTTGCTGGAGGGGGTCACATCCGATACTGAGCCATGTATGAAGCACGGGACTTTAAAAGAGATCGACGTCGATTCTGCGGACGTGATCGAATACTGGACCGTGCACCCAGCATGATAAACGTGTTTGCAGAACTTTAAGTACATGTTTTTTTATCTTGTCATTTTCAAATACCGTTTTTGAAAAATTGTTGGTTTTTTTATGATAAAACATCAACCGTTACGTCTGTTTTGTTTTAGACCAGAATGTTGTTTGGTGCCGTTTCTTTTGCCAGATATATTATATACATGTAACATTCCTTTTCTATACGATTTGGTTAACAGTAGCTGCCTTTATTGGATCAGTGATTACATACACAATGTTGATGTCCGTTTTACGAATGGCGTCAATGGTGGCGTCGGCAGCAACGTCCCAGTTCCCAGGCAGCGACGGGAGCTCCGTGAGTGACGTTGTGTCCAGCAGGTAGTCTACCACGGGAGAGTACACTTGTATGTACAGGATGTACTTGTCATATCCTGAAACGGTGAGTGGGGGAACAGCATTTCATTTATACAACGGCATGTCAGTATAAAGTAGGAATGAATCCCAGGTCTGGGATTCGAACATACGATCACACGATCCTTGCACGTCTTAGAGACGAAACAATACATATCGCCTGAGTGCCTGAGTCTCCCGACACACACACACACACGCACACGCACACACAAACACGCACATGCGCACGCGCGCACACACACACACGCACGCACACACACACACACACACACACACACACACACACACACACACACACACACACACACTATGCATCTTAGTACATCTCACAACCGGTGTTACATATCATTCTGTGCCTGTTTCGGGTCTGTGATGTAACGTTCTCGGTAAATGTTGCTTTGTGTCATTATGAAACGTGAATACTCTATGAGTTTGTACCTGAAAGGATGGTGATATCCCCGCCAATTCGCTGCCACATGTTGGGCTGCATGAACCTCACACTAGAAACATGCACATACTTCTTCGCACCTGAAGTCAAGAACCACAAACAAACTACACGATCGACCAATTTGGTTGGGTATCGAACGTGACCTACATTTTATACAATAGAGGATTCACTTGTACTAAAGCACTGTCACTTTGATGTTAGTTTGAAAGATGCTAAATTAAAATAGAAAAACTTATTGTAAACTTTTGTTTCAAAGATTCCATTTAGTGAAAATAGGTCCCCCTGTCGAGCAATTTGAAAGTAACGCAGTAATGACGAAGCTGCATTGTTTTAGAGGTTAGAATGTTACGTGGACATTCGTCCTACCTGTGACGGTATTGCGATAATTGAGCGTGACGGTAACCTCTGCCGTCATCTTGCCAGCAGCTGTGTTGAGAAGTTGGATGAAGCCACTGAAGAAGTATTGTTTCCCTGCCTCTACACTGATGGACTGGGCGATACCTGCCCATTTCGCTTGTCTGAAAGCACATGCGAATTAATATGAAACTTATATTTCACCCGACCGCCACCGTGGTCTAGTGGTAGAGCGTCCGCGCGGAGAGCGGAAGGCCCGGGGTTCGATCCCCAGCCGCGTCATACTTTAAAGGTGGTACTAGTTGTTACCCTCTCTGGCGCTCGGATTTAAGGGGCTAGAACAAGGACTGGTTGGCTTGGAGTCTAATGCATGCGGCATGGTATCCCAGTAGGCATTAGTCCGTACAAGTACAAACAGCCAAACACACACATACACACGTGCAAGCACGTCGCTATATAAATGCAATAATTTTGGACGTGACGTTAAAGACCATTGGGGCATTCCGGGTTACATCTGGTCCCCAGCAACTGATGCCGGTCGTAAAATGCGTAGGGGTCGGGTGGTGACGAGGTCAATTACGCGTCATCGTATTTACATCCCATGTGTGTATCATTGCACAACACCACGCTTCCTTTGACATAACATATCGATATGCCGTAACCGTCCCCATGGTTATGAAGGGTATATACGTGATGTCCTATCCCTGGTCACAATGGAATCTGTTTCGTACGTTGATCTAGACTGCTTGTACTGCGTGTACTGTTTGTGTGTTGGCGTCGTATATTTCAAAGACAAAGCGCAGCTGCTGTAAATTTAAACACATCTGTGATGTCATTCTATTGTTGATGTCACAGTTGTTTGTCAATAATACGTTATCTTGGACCAACATTTCAACTAAATTACACTTGGAATAGACGGAACTATATTTTTTATATTTTGACAAGTGAATGATTTCAAATTTTGTCGGAAAATATGTGTTGCCAATGGGGTTGAGGACGTCTTACTGTCAACCTCAGCTACGGCGACACATGACAGTACGGTGTGAAATTCACTACTTGTGTTAAAGATTTACAAATGTGTGCATAATTCTAAAAAGCAAAAAAGATAATATGTTTTAGCAGGTACCCTGTAACAATGTTCGTATTCATTGCAATTAGATAAACACTTTGACGAAAATACTGATCAGGTAAACATATATATATTCATGTTCAGGGCTCTATATTTGCATTTATCCCCGTCAGTTTGTATCAACAACGGGCAAGTGTTCATGATTGTCAATGATAACATACATGTTTAGGACCCCACGAAATTATGAAGAGCCGTGTACCATGTATTGGAAATATGAGCTAGCGACGAAGTTTGTTGCACGTGCAAAATCTCCTAAACAGATAAATGTTTGTGACCTGTTGGATACCCGCACACTGTTGTTGCCCGTGTAGCTGTCAGAGCTGAGGGAGGTGGAGCACCTTCTCCCAAACCAGCCACTGTTGGCGTTACTGAAGTCACCCTGTTCCAGATCGCTGTTGACAAGCAGGTTGCCATCAGATGCCGCGCAGGGAAGTAAAATGGCAATCACGAGACTGAATCTTAGCATCCTGAAAATACAATCTGAATACCATAATACAATTATTTCGCTCCTGTTCATAATTCAAATTAACATGAGTTAGACTAACATATAGGAAACGAACTTTGTGCTGATTCAAAACAGCCATGTACGTTAAGTCATTGAACAGGAAGACGAAGCAGCGACACACACCACGAAGTTCCGCTATGTGATAATACTAACAATATTTCAGATTTGGAGTATATATCCATTCATGCCCATTTGAAATCGATACATCCATTTCAATACATAGTACATAGGCTAGACCTACTCCATATGAGACCCGTGAAGATTCGGGGTAGAATAGATCTTCAGCAACCCATGCTTGCCCGAAAAGGTGACTATGCTTGTCGTTAGAGGCGCCTATCTGGATCGGGTGATCAAGCTCGCTGACTTGTTTGATGCATGTCATTGTATCCCAATGGCGTGGATTGATGTTCATAATGTCAATCACCAGACTCGATTATATACAGACCGCCGTCGTATAGCTGGAATACTGCTGAGTGCGGCGTTAAACAAGAAACAAACTAACAAACAATGATATTTCTGAACGACAAGCACTATAAAAATGTTGGTTGGTGTTAATATCAGTATAATTTAGCAGTTTTCAAGCGAAAAACATCAGGATCTTAATCAGTCAAATCAGGAAAGGATCTTAATCAGTCTGGTGAACTTATGAATAGAGGTAGGAAATTCATAAACTATCTTGACAACTTTCAAGGGTAGAGTATACATATGTTCAACCCTTAGAAAATGATCTGATTTCTATACTATGCACAACAATGTACTCACTTTGCCGCCACAGTCGCATCTGTTTCCGTGTCCTGTGGCCGCTGTTTATATGAGACTGGTGCTGATAAACACCTGTCTCTATTGACGCTGGTTATTGCCCTGACAATGTACATATAGCTCCGAGGGGTGTGTGTTGTGGTACGAACTTAACTGGTGTAACAAGAGAATAGGACATTGCCGCGAGGGTGTTTTATGAAAGGTAGTTCATTTGTTTCCCACTGCAATCAACCATCCGGAAGGTCTTGGTAGTCGGATAATACCTACATGTATAGTGAAAAACAATAAAGATGATAGAAAATGCCTCTATAAATAGCAGCTGATATTAGACGCCGGCTGTTTTACACGACAACATTGAACAAAAGAAGGGCGTTCGTTACAATAGCATAATAGAGCCTGTATTGACCGTACGCCTTATCACAAAGCTATTCGTGCAGTAGTTGCACTTAACGGAAAACGGATGAAGCATCATTTATAGTTCGGAAACAAGATAAGTTTTATGTGTTTCAGCTATGAATGGATCAGATTCCATAGCAATAATCTGTATCTCTTCCATTCGTCAGGACAGACGAATATCTATATTACATTTCCTGAAACTATTCATTCATTTCCCATGACGAAAACATTTGGCCATTTCCATTGAATACTTTTATATTTTACCTCTCTACATCCATTGGGTGAGTGAGTGAGCGTTGAACAGTATTGGTATAATATATCGTGCATGTAGAAAGGCCATGTTGACATTGTTCGTTTATCCCAGTTGATGAATATGCTTCACGAAGTAATTTATTCCAGTTCTGTTCAACGCCGCTTTGAACAGTATTCCAGTTATATTACGACGTGCAAGGTTAATGTGGGAGGTAAGCCCGAAGTGATGCAGGTCTCAGATATTTACCACAATCAGAGCACGGTTATGAGGCTGACAAACCTAGAAATATAATCGAGGATTTGAACCAACAATGATAGATTTATGGCGTGCCTAAGGGACGCAACTCTAAGACGACTGCACCACCCGTGTCCCCACACGTTTATTGAATTTCTGTTTGTTGTTTAACGTCCAGAAATACGAGGGCTGTAAATAATCGTGTCTGGGCCAGACAATCCAGTGATTGAAATGACAAGTAGAACATTCCGAATTACCTTTCACTTAAATTGTATCCTAAGGAGCAAATTATTGTAATCCTTTGCTGTTATGCTTTGCCATGATAAACTGTTTATACTAAACAGTCGAAACCGATTACATTCTGATATTTATGTTATATTCATATAAGTAAATGATGTATCTTCTAATTTTAAACTTGGGAAAGTAAAACCTCTACCTTATATGACGTCACGAAATACATACGGAATTTCTGAACGTTTCACAACACTAACATACCTGCACATTGCTTTGTATGTGAACTGTTGGCAAGTTGTCATAGCAATGAGATGCAGCCTAGGAAATAGAAAGACGATCTCCACACTGAGTGCTCGCACCGTGGACACAGTTAACCCACTATATACTAACTGCTTAAAGCGCTATTTGGAACTATGAGAAATACCATTACAAAGCAGCTCGAAATCGTCTTTTAGTAAATGTAGTTGAGAGAGTGCAGTTACATATATTTATTCAACAACCACAAGAACTAGAACGTCTGAGACAATCATGTCCATATATCAGGCAACAGTTTAACACAGCAATGTAAGTGTTGTATATTTATCACCCGCCCAACGAAGTTGGCGGGGGATATAGAAAACGGGCTCCGTCCGTCCGTTCAATATTTTTTCATCAAACTTTGCAGGTCTGTCAGGTACATGCTGAACTGGTGCCTTTTGCTATTGAGAAATTTTAGAAATTTTTATTTTTACGTTTCCATGGCGACAAGGTGGACTTAGATTCTGTGAGGGTAGGGTTCGTTTCTTGAGCATAACTCATAAACCGTTCAATATTTTTTCATCAAACTTTGCAGGTCTGTCAGGTACATGCTGAACTGGTGCCTTTTGCTATTGAGAAATAATTTTAGAAATATTTATTTTTTACGTTTCCATGGCAACAAGATGGACTTAGGTTCCAAACTCATCTTTTTTTACAATTTCCATGACAAGTTCCATCTCGGTTAAAAAAGGTTAGGGTTTGTTTAGATTTAATTATGTCATAAATTCTGCAACAGGGGCGGGGAATATAGCCACGTTAGTGGCAAACTCATGTTGAACTTGCAATATACATCATGTACCGTGCTTCAGTCATCTAAATCTAAGATATAAAATATGTTGAGGCGTCATCTGTGCTCAGTTTATTGTTCATTACTTTTTTAAATAAGTATAATCGATTAATCAGGCCTAAAACGTACACACGTTTTAGCAGTAATGATCGTTATCTTCTTGAGAAACCGTTTGATTCCTGTACATATTTACGTGGAACGTTCTTTATTGTACAGGACGTCGTACACTTTAATATATATCTGTCATAATATATTATCAAACATTTGTCAAGGCGCATTTACAGCGTGACCATCTAACCATGGTTCATGCACAATCGGATTGTATAAATTGACGACATTGACCCGAGGCTATAATTGTCAATAGCTCCACATATATGAAACTGCTGAACGAAACGAACTGATAAGGTGATATACGTTAGCGATATATAACAATGTACCTCGGGAACAGACATGCCTCTGACGTAGGCTTACATTCTAGGGAATGTTAAAGCCAGCATACCAACAAAACAGACTAATTCCTTCATTGAGTGTATGAGTGGCGCCGTTTCACGCTTGGTAATAATCAGGCCCCTCACAGCAGGGGACACCAATGGGTCACGTCATTTTGTATACTTGTGGGCAAACACGTCCGGGCAGACACTATAACTACACTCACAGGCAAAATAAACTATACAAAACTTTCAATTGTGATTTTGTTTAATTAAAATCAAAATGTTAAAAATTGCTGTAAATTAATCACGTAAACGCAAAAACGAGTATTTCTAAAACCACAATTGTGGTTACGGGATCTAGAGGAAAATTACTTTAAACGTGAAAGTTTGATACACTTACGGCAAGATGTTATTTGGACAATTAGGATAAAAAAGCAGTGTAGCTGTCTTCTGTGGCACCCAGATCACCGTAATACCACAACGACCAAGAAGAACGAGAAGGGACAATCGGTATGCTTTGTTTGTTTGTTTTTGTTTAACGCCGCACTCAACAATTTTCCAGCTACATGACGGCGGTCTGTAAAATAATCGAGTATGGGCCTGACAATCCAGCGATTATCGGTCCACGCAGTTGGGATTCGATGACGTGCATCAACCAAGACAGCGAGTCTGACCACCCAATCCCGTTAGTCGCCTCATACGACAAGCATAGTCGCCTTTCACGACAAGCACGGGTTGCTGAAGGCCTATTCTACCCCGGATCTTCACGGGACCATTAGGTATGCTACAGATGGGAGCTGAACATGACCGTGTGTCAAGATTTGTGGGTTGTACCACACTCCAATCAAGACCGGTATTTACACGTCATACACCTGAGGAACAGATTCGTCACAGTGACGTCATTGTCAGCAACTGCCCTTGGACATCCTGTCAGTCGGAGAACTGTATCGAGGAGACTATGACAACCGACGTGCCTTTCAACATCGACGCCCAGTTGTACTCCCGTACCTACAAAAAAAACACGGACCATATTCCACCAAGACTACGCCCGATCACACACAGCACAAATCAACATGAACATTCTTAATGCCAACAATGCGAACGCTGTCATGGCAAGACCGATCCCTGACGTGTCTCCAATTAAACATGTGTGGGATCATTTGGGATGTGAGCAAGACAGGTTCCTGGGATGACTAGACAAGGTGTACTGCAAGCACGCTGCATTCCATCTCAAGACATTCCGTCCTCCGCTCACCGTCGATGGAGAGCCTCTATTCATGCCCGTTGTGTGCACATACGATATTGACAACATTTATCACAAACATACATAAATTCCTCATTGAATGATGGAATACATGACAACTTACCCCGTCCTCATGATTTTGCACTTGTACACTTTATGTTACCAACCTACCATTGACTACCATAGTATGCTAGTACAAAACATTAAATTTGGCAATAACAAATATCATTTCTCAACTCTCCTTTCTCTTCGTCAATGATTGTCATATCTTATAGTTTCTTTTGCTCGTGAGTGTAGTTACCAAACCAACTGTCCTGATTGTTTTTTTTAAACCTTTTACAACCACGCCACAATATTTAAATGACGGTCCGTAAATCCAGGATGATCATATTAGTTATTACAGTAAATAATACAACAAATCGTGAACTTGTTCAGCCAACATTAACATGGTCTCGTTTAATAATGCAAACAGACAGCAGGTATTTGGTACTTTTTGTAGCAAAAAGTCTTGAAAGAGAAATATTTTATATGGTGACATTAGTCCTGGGCATTATTGCCAATCATATTGTTGCCTTCTAGCAATACCCTTTAAAAAGATTAACATAATCAGTGTACGCCCTTATTTTGCTGCGCCTTCTGCATTACGTATAAAAACTCGGAAGATACAAACATTAACATTAAATAAATTCAGCTGGTATTCGTCTGGATGCAAATTGCATTTTCCATCAAGAACGAATGATATCACTTTATGTCGATTTCTGTTTGAATTGACATCGTTTGGAAAGTATTTCTTAATTACTGTTCATAACAAAGATGATTTACTAGTATGAACAAGTTTTTCAAATTTAAAATTGTAGTATTTTGGGGGGTTGCCAAATATTACGACTTTCGTCTCCACACTTGCAATAACCTTGGTCTAAAGTTGGAGATATGTTGTGGAACCTCGGACTTTGTTCCTATTTTAACCCCGTATCTTCTGCAAAATGCAAGTCAAACTGTCCTTAAATTACAAACGTTACTAGCTGAAGGTTGCCTTCTATAGCACGAAATATAGCCAGCAGTACCAGCGAGATATCTCCCTCCTGTCAGACACCTGGTGCACGTGATACGAAGCTTCCTGGCACCCTGGCCTCAGTAGGTGACAGAGGAGGAGATTATATCGGAGGTCTGTTGTGTTCATTCTAGTGTTGATGTCTGTAGTGCATTCTACTGTTGCTCAGTCTATATATTCAATGTGTTGAATGTAACAATGTGTTGAATGTCGGC